TTTAAAGTTTTCTCTACACGTTAGCTGTGAAATACTGTAAGGATGGCCATCCTTTGCTTGACCTGAGCTACCTTGGTTCAAACATAAATCATGATAATATCATTATGTTATAAACGCAAATGTTTTTTTTTGTTGGATTGGCGCTTGGCAGAGATCTTAATCCTATTCGATTTGTCTCCTGAAAGTCACATATAAGTATATGCAATTATGATCCTGACCTGTATATCTTCTACTCCGTATGAGCATACTATAATCCTTTCTAGTATAAGGTTATTACTCTTGTGTCTGAAATGTTTCTTTGTGTTGGGCTCATTTTTTAAGTTTGGTGAGTCTTATAAACCCTTCCGTTTTATTAATGCCTGCTGAGGAGTTGCGTGTGATCATGTAGTTAAACATTACCTCGATGCCTAATGTAATCCTGTTAGGGATGTAAGTCCTTTAATTTTAATTTTATTGAGCAACTGTCATGAAATGTGTTACTTAAATTTGCATTTTTAAAACTTCCCTGTTGTGGTTTGGGAACCTGTTTTCTGCAGATGTTCTTTTACGCGAACAAAGCAGTTACAATAGATCAACCAGCATTCTGGGAAATGAGTTATATGCTCAGAGTACGAGGACCACGAACTGATAGCTCATCAACATTAGCTGACAATGAATCTATCAGGAAAAAGGAATTAATCAACCAGGAAGCAACTGCTGCAGCAGCTCTCTTGAAATCTAGCAATCAAGGTTGCGCGGACATATTATGCCCAGTGTTCTTGAAAGATATTGCAAGAGCCATTTTATCTGCTGGGAAATCATTTCAGCTTGTTCAGCATGTTCAAGAGACACATCGGATTCAAACTCGTGAAGTCGTACATGAGTTTAATGTTGATCAGCATGGCAATTACATTAGTCAACAGAAGTTTCGGCCTGATACCTCAAGTATAAGAATTCAAGATAAGCGTGAAGATATTATTGAAGAATCTGCAGGCCAGTTTGGAAATAATGCTTGCAAAATGGGTTTCTTAACCTTGTCTGAGAGTTTCTTGATATGCCTATCTGGTCTGTTGGAAAATGGTGACCATGTTGATGATTACTTAAGAAAGTTGTGTGCTGATCATGCTCCAGTTAACAAATCAATTGTGCACAGTAAGAGTAATGTACAAGAAACAGAAGAGGTATGTGGAGAAAACAGCTCTGAGAAGACTTGGTTAAAGCTCCTAAGAGATGCTACATCAGGTAGGGACTATGACGGCATGGAGAAAACTTTAGCAAAAAATGCTGTTATGAGGGATCCAACATTTGTCCCTGGAGATCATCAAGATGTATCTTCCACTGCAGTAGAAAGCCATTTCAACCTATCTTGCTATGAAAACCCTGGCATCACTGCTTGTCAAGAAATACTAGAGAGGAACAAAAACTCCTGGAGCGACTTAAATATCTCTAAAAGTTTCCATCTTCCTCCACTGAATGATGAGAACATACGGAAGTCTATATTTGGTGATAGAGACTCTTCAGGGACTAGCCCTGGTGATACCCTATCTACAACATATTTCCCCAGACTAGACGGAACTGATTACAAGTTTGGTTTTCAGTTTGATGATTCAGAATATATCCGCCAAGAGGATGACAGGAGAACCTTGGAGTCTCTCTATACATTCCCGACTCTTCTGCCATGTGTAAATGTGAGACTGATTCTGAAGTATAGTGTCTTGTTCATGTTTTCTTATTAGTTGTTAACCTTTTCACCCTTCAGGAAAATGTCCCGCTGTCAGAGATCTTACCTTTGCAGAAAGATAGCACACTTGCCTCAAGAGCTTTGAAGTTTATTCAGAGCATGAGTTTGAGAGATCCTCTTCAACCAGTTGGTATCATCCAAGAATGCCTTTCTAAATGTATAAAGAGACAGGTCTGCTCAAACATTATACTAGCATTTAGTTATTTACGTTATATATCTTGTTAGTCGTCCGTATAACAGGTTTTTGCATTTTCCCCCTCAACAGGTTGATCACATTGGCAAGCAAATCTTGTCAAAGCTAATGGGTGACTGGAGATTAATGGACGAACTCTTTGTTTTACGTGCTATTTATTTGCTAGGGTCAGGTATTATGCTATCAACCTATCATTGAGTTGTTCTTAACCTCTCGTAATATTTTCCCTGAAAAAATCTTTTTACTATGTCTAGGTTAAATACATGTTTCATCAAAGAAACAAACATTATTTTCAAACCAAATGTAGAAATAAATACAATTCTATTGACCAACTTGAGCCTTCAGGTGACATGCTGCAGCAGTTTCTGGTAACAATTTTTGACAAGCTCGATAAAGGAAATCCCTGGGATGATGATTTTGAGTTGAATACTTTGCTACAGGTGATTCACTATGCTAATCTAGTGCGACAAAATTGATGCCACATAAGGATCTTAATAGCTTTATCAATTTTTGTCTGCAGGAATCCATAAGAAACTCAGCTGACAAAATGCTCCTGACTGCGCCAGATTCTTTGGTTGTCTCGTTAGCAAAGCATGATACGCGCAACGATGAAGAAACTACATCAATTTCTAGGAAAGGTCGTGCACAAGGTTTTGGCATTGAGGCACTTGATGTGCTTAATTTTACATATAAGGTATGCACAAAACAGCACCAATATTCTGCGTTCTTTACCATGTGTTCATGTTATGCTGTTGGGTGGCAGGTGTCTTGGCCTCTTGATCTGATTGTCAATACGGAGGCACTGAAGAAGTATAACCAGGTACTTACTTTCTAGACTAATTATTTAACAGTGCCATGTATTTGATGGCTTTTGACCTTTTGCTGTTTTGCTCGATCAGGTCATGGCATTCTTACTAAAGGTCAAGCGTGCAAAGTTTATTTTGGACAAAACTCGAAAGTGGATGTGGAAGGTACTTATCCATCCTATAACCCTGTCACCATCTTATGGAATCTATTTATTTATTTATTTTTCATGTTGTCGTCTGATAAATCTGGAAACAGTATAAACTCATATAGTGTTTGATAGTTGGGTACTTGAACCTGCTCTAACTTCTCAATATGATAGATTCATTCTGATGTATCAAACCTTTCCCCACTGGCAGGGCGGAGGTAGCACTACGCATAATTTTAAGCAACATTTAATAGTTGAGCAGAAGCTCCTTCATTTTGTTGATGCATTTCATCAATATGTCATGGATCGGGTGAGTTGGGTATTTTTGATCCATTCCTTTCTACATCTCTCTACTGTACTCATGACACAGTTTTGAGTAGGTATACCATAGTGCGTGGACTGAGCTTTGTGATGGCATGGCATCCGCCACTACACTGGATGAAGTCATGGAAGTTCATGAAGCATACCTCTCTTCTATTCAGCGACAATGCTTTGTGGCCTCTGATAAGTTGGTGAGTAACTTGTCGTTCTTATTACAATCATCAAAGCTTAATTCCAAAAACTTTATTCTAGCTAAGATTGTTCATTGCGGCAATTGCCTGTGTGCAGTGGGCCCTCATAGCCAGTCGAGTTAAGACCATTCTTGGATTGGCACTTGACTTCCACAACATAGAACAGACTCTTGGTACTGGTGGAACTGCTCCAGCCGTCAAGGCAAGATGTGAGATGGAAGTGGATCGCATCGAGAAGCAATTTGACGAGTGCGTTGTATTTCTCCTGCGGGTATGTTTCCTGTTTCCATCTACTACCAGCAAAACTCGATGATCTCCTATGTTGTCTGAACTTGGTATTTTCAGTAGATTCATGACAATCTCAATATCCTTTTTCAGATCCTATCTTTCAAGCTCAATGTTGGTCACTTCCCCCATCTGGCGGATCTCGTTACGAGAATCAATTACAACCACTATTACATGTCTGACAGCGGAAGCTTCTCTGCCATCCCTGGATCTCGGCCACGGTAGCAGTCTTGCAGTGCTCATAGGAATATAGGATCTTAGGTGTTGCTCTCCATTTTGTGGGGAATGTATATACTGGATTTGTAAAGTGTGGTCAATGCTGATGCAGCCAGGAAGGCATCACCATATCCCAGGATGCAAATGCATTCTTACAGAATGTTTAGGGATTTGTAGGTTGTAAGTTTTGTGCCAGTATGGTTTTCTGTAAGCTGTAAATTTTTGCGCCAGTCTGTTGTTGTTGTTTTTTCAATACTTATCCCACGTTCACCTTCAATGATGGCTTAAATACAAGTCGTTTGCCATCGCGTTCAATTGAGGCTTTGTTGAAAGAGATTTACTCCGGTACAACATAAAGTATCTCGAAGTACCAAATCGTTTCTGATCGTTGGATCTATCTAGGTAGGATGGACATTGTTAAATCCAATGATCGAAAATGATTTGATACTGTGAGGTACCGGTAGCTCGAGGTACTTTTTGATGGAGCGGAGCAAATCTTCCTTTTTCCTTTTTGTTGGACCGGTAGCTCGAGGTCACCCGGAGTGCATGGTGACTGGCAGGGCCAGCGTGGAGTCAGACGTGTACAGCTTCGGCGTCGCGCTCCTCGAGCTCGCCTGCGGCAGGTGCCTGGTGATGACGCGGCCGGACGGGAGCGCCGTGCACCTGGCGCAGCGGGTGCGGGAGCTGCACAACACATTGAGTTTCATTCGCGTCCTTTAACCACACAAAATCAGGTATGTAACACCTCCACAACTTCTTAACTAGAGCAAATCGAGTCCCTCTATAGTATTGAGAATAGTTTTAGCCGACGTGACGCCTTTCAGTTGGAGGAAGATTGGATTTTAAGTGTTTTTTTTTTGAACGACTCACACCAGACAATGCGAAGTTCATATTGTCAATATAGAAGGAAAAAAGTTACAAATTTTGAAAGAAAATAGGAAGTACACACATTTCTCAGTCAAAATATAGGGCTATAACAAACATAAATGCGCCATATATTTCAAAAATATAGGAAATACACAAATTTTGAAAGAAAAATTTAACTAAATTGTGATAAACGGGAAGGAAAAAAACCGCTTGCCCGTCCCAGTTGCATCCCCGTGGGAGCTGACGAGCTGTCATCTAGCTTGATTTCCATGTGACCGCGCTCGGCGGGGAGCGTTCCCAGCGGCCGGTCGCCATGATAGGGAAGTGCAGCGGGATCTCCCTAGCGATGTCATCAATGATGGCTGGCGCGGCATGGCCATGGAACGCAAGAGACATCCTCTCTAGCGACGGTGGCACGATGGTCGCAAGCAAGAGCTCGACGACGACGCTGTACTCTTCACGGTCGCCGCCGGTGAGCCCGTCCACGCTCACCTCTCGAAGGGAGTCGAGACGACGACCAAGCCTCGGCTTCCGGCTATCGTCCTCACCATCTGTCATCCACATGTGCCAGCTTCCTCGTGCCGCCACCGCCACCGCCTCAACCTCCTCTTGGCCCTCCTAAGATTAAAAAAAAAACACATTTAGAGTGCGTATGATTAATTAAGTATTACATTTCTAAAACTAGGAAATGGATTAATACAACTTTTTAAAACAATTTTTCTATAATTTTTTTTGAAAAAAGTTATATACTATAACGTTTAGCTGTTCGGGGAGTGTGAGCGTGGAAAATGAGGGCACACGTTTCAGGTCTGCAAGAAACAATGAGGGAGCATACAAAGACTGAGAAGCAGTAGGGGCTTGTTCGAATGTGAAGCCTTGTTAAGCTTGGTGTTTTGGAGAGTAGTGACGCCAAGCTCGCCGCAATGCCGCCGCCGCCGCCGCTGGCGAAGCTCCACCTGATGTTGAGCGAGAGTACAGTGACACGCGGCAGCTCCGGCAGATGGCGGATCAAGTCCTCGCACGCGCCGCCGCCGCCGCCTAGCCAGTTGGCGAGAGCCATGTCTTCCGGCATCACGAGCTCCATGTCGAGATGGCCGACGGCGAGGGAGCACGACCGCAGGAGCTGCGTGGTGTAAGGGGCGTCGAACAGGTCGCGCCGCCCGACCGCCGCGAGCTTGAGTGGCCCGGCGAGCCGGCGAACGCGCGCCAGGCCGGAGCGGAAGGCGAGATGCTCCGGGTAGCTCCGGTGCCAGACGACGGCCTCGATCCCCGGCGCCGTGACGGCGACGTCGCCGCCGCCGCCGCGGAAGCAGGAGCGCACGTTCAGGCACCGGAGGTTGGGCGCCGACACGTCGAGGGCTTCCAGGTCGTCGACGCCGTCGATGTCGAGGACCTCGAGATGGTCCAGCGTGTGGAGCGCCAGCCGGCGCACGGCGTGGCGCCCCCTCACGCCGCGCAGCCGCAGCCGCCTCAGCCGCGGGCAGCACGACGACAGGAACTCGTCCAGCGGCCGCTCGCCGCCGCCGCCGAGCCGCACCAGCGACAGGCTCAGCTCGGACAATCTGCCGAACACCTGCCGGTCGTCGACGCCGGGGAGTGTCAGCACGGTGCGCGGCGCGGCGACGGCCATGGCCGCCGCGCGGGCGCAGGGCGGGAGCGGCAGCCAGCCGACGAGCCCGCGCAGCGAAGTGACGCGCACGGAGCCGACGGCGCGCTCCATCGCCTGGCCGAACCATCCGTCGGCGGCGACGTTGATGTAGTGGTCGACCTCGACGGAGATGGAGGGGATGCCGGTGGTCGGGAACCGGAGGAGGGCCTCCCCGGCGAGAGCGGCGAACTCTCTCTGGATCATCCCCGGGCACCGGCGGCGCCGCCGCGGCAAGTCCAGGACGGACAGGTTGAGCGCGGCGACGTGCGCGGGCCACACTCGCCGCCACCGCCGCGACAGCTGCGTCGTGCGCGCGGCTTGCCGGGCGGGCAGGAAAGAGAGGATGCGGCCGATCACGTCGTCGGGGAGGCTGCTCAGACGATCATCGTCATCATCTCCGGCGACGGCGACCTCTAACTCCGATGATCTCTCCTTGCGTTTCATCATGCCTGATTGGATGAGTTGGAATATTGGAGATGATACTAAAAAAACCTTAATAATTTAACTTGGAAATTCACAACCGTATCCGTATACAACTACAATTGGCTTAAACTTTATTATAGATAAATATAATTAATTAGACGCGAATATTAGGAAATAAGCTAATATCAAATAATTAGAAAAGGTAAGGTTTCGAATCTAGATTGTCTAGCCTAACGCCTTATGAAGCTAGCCGGAAGACCAATAAAATTAGGTATTCGATCGCAACAATAATTAAGAAGAAGAAGATGACGACGACGGTGACGAGCAACAAAGAGATGGTGGTGGCGGCGGCGGCGAGCGGCGGCGGGAGGAGATGTGTGGAGGACGACGCGTGCAGGATCTGCGGATGGCGATCACACAACGAGAGCTTCTGCGTCTTCAACTACATGGACGGCTATTTCTCATCTCGTAGCTGCAGGGAGCAGTGCAAGCCGGGGTGGCACCGGCACGCCGCCGCCGCCGCCGACGACTTCGACGCCGACGAGTGGCGGCGTTGCTTCGTCCGCGTCACCAACGTGGCGGCGGGCGTCGAGGGGCATAGCCTCCGGTGGCTCTTCCAGCGGTTCGGGCCCGTACGCGCGTGCTCCCTGTCCAGGGAAGGCCAGCCCGCCGGCGACGGCGACGGCGGCGGGCTGGCGTTTGTGACGTTCTACAGCGGCGGCGACGCGGAGGCGGCGGTGGAAGGGCTGAATGGCCATCTCGCCGGCGACCGTAGGCTGCGAGTCGACTTGGCGTACCCTCGCGTCGTGGTGCTCAGTCATCATGCATGAAGTTCTTTTTTTTTTTTTGAAGCCATTTGGCTAGACTTTATTGATCTGAAAACATAGTTACATCTTTAACCAATTTGTTCGTAATAAAAGCGAGGAAGTTTATCGACCCAGATACATGAATTTTTAATAAAGCTATATTGGCCAATTCATAAGCTAGTACTTGGTTTTCTTCCCTATTACAATACTTTATAGAAATCTTATCAAGGGATATCCTCTTGAGGGATGATTTCACTTTCCCCATTATCAGAACAATTCAAAATTAATTGGCATTCTTGATATATTGGAGCTGACGCCCGTCGCCCAAAAACATCCATCCATCATGCATGAAGTTATCAGAACTTGTTCCATCTTCTTGCAACCATAATTATCTATAAAGCTAGCTATGATGTTCAAATAGAACAAGGCCCCTTTCTAGGAATTGATATATATCTATTGAGCGGGTGCGTGGCACTTGGCAGCGTGGGCGACGAACTGACGAAGTCGATGGCCTCGAGTGCCTGGTCAGGGCGGCCGCCGCTCCGCCCGACCCGCTTCGTTTGCTGCCCTCTCTCCGCGCCGCCGTTCCGCCCCGCTCGTCACCTCCTCAGCCTCGGAGCCCACGACGTGGTGCCACCGTATGTGGACGCCGAGTCAAACTCCACGCCGCACTCCGTGCACCCGTGCGCACGGGAGGCCTTCACGGGAGGCATCACCTCCGCGACCGAAAGCGAGACACCCCCTCCCCCGGCCGCCGCCCCACCGCTGCCTCTTCTCCCGTTGTTCCTGTCGTCGGTGCGCCGCACGGGAGCCTTGCGGTAGAACCACTTCCCCACCACCGACCTCGTCATGAACGACATCAGCATTGCCACCAACGTCTCATCCTGCGTCGCCGCCGCCGCCACTGGCTTCTTCACGTAGATCTCATCTCCCCTTCCCCCACCCGCCCCTTCCCTCCCTCCTGCAGAGAAAGAAGCCTCCACCAACATCCCCAGCAGCCACCATCTCCGCCTCCTTGAGCTCCTTCCCTGCATCTGCTTCGTCGCCGCCTATGCCTTCTTAAGCCCCATCACCGTGGACCTCCTCACCTCCCACCACCGTCGCCGCCTCCTGCGGATGCCATAGTGACCGCCGCCACCAACTACCTGGTCCAGACTGCGCGAGCGCCGTGGCCAAGGAGCTTCGGGCGGCTTACCGCCCGCTGGCGAGGGAGCTCGAGGAGGGAGGTATTGCCGGGAAGGATAGCCACCATCCGTAGAGATAAAGAGGATGCTCCCCCAACATTTTTTATGTTTTGTTTGACTGACACGTGGGCCTCACATTTAAAAATATACATTTTACTTCTAGTCCATGTTATTGCCACGTAGAACGAGGACCAATTTAAACCAGCCACGTAGGCGCCACGTCAACCAAAATTGTCATCCAAACCGCCTTGGGACCTTATGTGCACTGTTTTTGTAAGTTGAGAGATGCCTTGTATCCGGTTTTGCGGTTCAAGGATAAAAATCAGACTGGTCGACAAATTGAGAGACCTAAAGTAAAACTTATTACACAGGTTTATGAAGTGTTCCATCCGTACATGGGCCTTGGCCCAGCTCTTACATGGCCTAACGGCCAACTTAACCAACACATTGGTCATAACACGCCGCCGTCGTCTCCACCGTTGTTTAGCGTACGCACTCCTGAATTCGCCGCGCTGCCGGTAGCAAATTTTGCCTTTAGGAAAAGTATTTACGGACAGATGTTCAGTGCATTTAGCAAAAACATAAGCATTGTTCACTACGTACTTATTCTAAATGATGTATTTCAGAAAGATTGGAGCTATTTGTTATCTGTCATTTCCGCACAATATATTGGTTTCGATCTTTTTCTACCCTGTCAGAGGAATGCCTTAATTTGTTTCACTCATTTTGCTTCTGCATTTTCAGGGCTTTTGGTCATGCGTCCTATCCATGCTAATGATATCATCAGAAGAAGCCAATATATTTTCACTAATTTCATATGAGACGTCATTATATTTTTAAAATTCCGGATTACATGGCGATGCTACAGAGTGATTGATTTTGTATAATAACTTGTAAGTTCACAAACCGTTTTCCTCCCCTTCACCTTGCTCCTTGCCTAACCTTAGTATATATTCATCCAACAGAAATTACATTGTCAGGGCATCGGCGGACAGACCAGCTGATGATCCTGGGAGTGGGAGCAACAAGGAAGATGAAGGCGGTCATGCGGCAATCCTGGAGGCAACAAGGCTAAAGAGAAGCGTACAAAGAAAAGGAATAAGTTCACCGGAGATCCCTCAACTCAACAGCGATATTTTTTAATATCCCTTAACCACAAAACCAGACAGGTATACCTCTAAACTCGCACAAACCGTGCACTCAAGTTCCCAGGGCAGTATATATGGGTGGTTTCGTTGACATGGCATCATAGTCAGAAAAAAAAATTAAAAAAAGTATGTGGGACTCACATATCAGTTGCACATCTTTGTTTTTTTTCTTCTCTTTTCTTCCCCTTCTTTTCTCTTTTCTCTCCTATATCTTCTCTTCTTCAGTCAACTCAGGGTGACCGGCGGGCGGCGGGCGAAAGGTCCCAGGGCAGTATATATGGGTGGTTTTGACGACGAGGAAGGGGCCGCTACGGCGGCAGTCGAGGTGGTTACATCCGACGGCGGAGCAGAGCACCGCGGTGGCGTAGGACCTGAAGTAGGGGAGGTTCGGACGGGGGAGCCGGCGCCGTCGTCCCGTCCTGAGGTGCCACACGGTGAAGTCGGCGCTGAAGGGGAACTCGTCAAGGAGGGCGTGGCCTTGGCGGTAGTCGAGGGTGACCCAGCAAGGGCACTGTCACGCCCCGAGCTAGCCCTAAACGGAACTAGCCCGTGACGCTCCAAATTAACCTGTTAATCGATACCAGTCCCAGGAAGCAGTGCTGGTATCACAGGAAGACAGAATATCACAGCAACAGAGGTCTCTTTATTACAGAGTAGGGGTACAGTCATGTTGGGCTGCGAACAGATCCCGAGCTCACAACTGCATTACAAAAGGGAAAACGGAAGCCAAGACTTGGACCATTCATCACAGGCGCGACCCGGGAACTAGGCCGAAACCCTAAAACTCATCGTAGCCGACTTGCTCCTGGAAGAACTCCTCATCAGCAGGATCCACTTCGTCTTCTTCAGCAACTGGGGGGGGGGGGATTATTTATATAGAGCAAGGGTGAGTACGGGAGTACTCAGCAAGCCTTGGGAATTAAGTGTTTAATGCAGGCTTCAAAGGAAAGGCTGTTGTTTTTGCAATTGATTTTATTTAAACTCCTTTTTGAAACAACTAAGTGAGTGCTTCTCAAACGACACGGATGAGACAGTGCGTCTCGTCCGGTCGGAGTATGTGCAATGTATCAGTCTTTGAATTGATTCAGGGTTGGCACCCGGCCAACAGCTTTCAAACGGCCACCCGGGCCTAGCTGATCCCATCAGCCGCAGATTTTCCCAACATCGAATCCTTTCCACGACATCAGTTTCACAAAGCAGTAGTCAAACAAAACTACGCTAGGAATCACCTCACGTCCGCCCATGACCGTGGGCACGGCTGTTCAAACAGTTTAATAACCTCTGCAGAAGGGGTACACTTTACCCACACGACATTACTAACCCGGATCACCCAGCCCGTGTAGAACAGCCACGTCTGGAGACCTTGAGGCTTTCATGACAAGGCATTTCGGAAGCTGACATAGGTTCACCATATGCCAACGAGAGGGGTCCCAGACCGACAACAGGTTAGGTCCCAGACCATACTGTGCCAGGAAGCCCGGGGGTTCTCCCCGGCACCACCCCGTTGAATCCACATGTCTCTTGGCATCATGGCTCCCCCGATTAGCTAATTACTCAGGCAGGGGCATCCCATTCCACCCATGTGGTCACACTTGCCTTATGTTCGGATGAAATTCCAAGGAAACGGTCCTTAAGTGCAAGAGCGGGAAACCGTACTCCCGGTACGTCCCCCGGTCCGCGATTTTGGAAATTCATTTTAATTCGCAAGCACCGACCCAGGTGTCGGGTTTTTTTCCAAGTCTTTTGTAAAACCCCAAGTTTTACCCATCGTTGGATATTTTAAATATGAGGGGAGGTGTTCCGATGCGCGTGCCTAAGGGCCCATGCATCGAAGCACAACAGTTGACAAAGGAGGTTTAAGTGTTCAATAATTCAAGAAGGGTAATTGCAGCAATTAGGATTTGGGGGCCGGTAGGCTATCTCGCAAGCCGTGGCCGAATTACTCGTGTTAATCCTATTCATGCAATATTTGCGGAAAAGAAATACTTAGATTTAAATTATAGGTGCAAGATGATCAAAGGTGACTTGCCTTGCTCGAGATCTTGAGCTTGATCCTCGAAATCCTCGCACTGCGGGTCTTCGGGCTCCGAAACTACATGCGAAACGGGACAACTCAACAAACGGCGAAAATAAAGCCCTATTATTGACCTCTAAGCCTGCCATTAGATAGATCTCGAGATTTGGGGAATTTTGGAAGTTGAACGGAGTCAAACGGACACACGGTTGAGAAGATATTGAATTTCTAAGATTATTGGATTTTTGGTCTAAAGGAAAAAGGATTTGTTTAAACCCTTTTGGAAAAAGAAATGAAAGAGGGAGAGGGAATAGACTTCCCTCGGGCGGCTAGGGCGCGGCCCGAGAGAAAGGGGCGGCTCGGCCGAGCTTAATGGGCCGGCCGGCCCGAGAAGGCGGCCCAAGGCACGCGCGGGAGGGAAGGAGAGAGGGAGCCGGTGGGCCGGGTCCATCTCGCGTGGTCCTGAGTGGGACCCGCTTGACGGCGGCTCGGCTCACCGTGAGCGAGGAGCACGTGACGCGGCGCTAGGGTTTGGAGCGGGGCGCAGCGCACGCGCACGGCTCGTGGTGGGTGCGGATGCGGCGGGCCCACGCGCAGCCTCACGGCTCGCGGTGGACCGCGCGCGCGAGCAGGGCAGAGGGGAGCGGCAGGCCGATGTCGGCTTGACCCAGTCTCGGCCGAGCTGGCGCCTACGTGGCTGCCACGCGGGCCGGCGGGAGGTTGAAGAAGGCGCCGGCCGGAACGGACGGCGGACGGTGGCTGCGAACAGCGGGGCGAACCACGGCGATACAGGCGAAAGATAGCACACCGGGTGGTTGCACGAGACGAGGGGAGACGAACCAACGGCTCGGATTCGCCGGAAGGAGTTCGACGGCGGCGGATTGCGGCGGCGGCAACCGGCGGAGAGAAAAAAGGGAAACGGCGATGACGCGACTAGGGATCAATTCCTCCAGACTATAGCATCTACGCGGCCACCGGAGTCCGTTTCTAGCGTCGGATTAGATGGAGACACTACGAGAGAGGCCGGCGACGTGCGGGCGCTACCGAGCACGGGCGGCGACGGCGGCGAGCACACAGCGAGCGGCGGCAGCGGTCGGGGCGGCGCCAGCTAGCTACGGGGAGGCTATACAAGCCTCTACCGAAAGCTAAGGGGAAGAGGAGGAACGAGAGGGAGAATGGGGAGGATGCACTACCGTGCGGGGTGAAGGGGCGCAGTGACGATGGCCGACGGCGCGAGGCGTGATCGCTCCGGCCTCGGGCCGGGGAAGAGGAAGGAGAGGGTGCGCCCGGAGTCCACGTCACGCGTCCTCGCTCGTGCCGGCTCCTCCGACACGCGCGACGACGAACGGCGATGGCGAACAGGGCAGGGCGGCAATGGCGAGGGCGAAAACGGGGGAGATTGGTTTGGGGAGGGGCTCGGGTTTATAGGGCGGCAATGTCAGTTCGGAAACCAACCTTGGACGGCACTAGGGGCGAGGGAGCTTCGAGGGGAAGGGATAGGCTTCACGGGCGCGGTCAAACGGCGGAGGACAGGCTGGCGCGGCGCGGCTGTTCCTTTGCCCTGGCGCCAGCTCCGAGCGGAGGGAGAGCAGAGGCCGGGCCGAGAGAGGAAAGCGGGAAATGGAGAGGGAGAAAGAAGGCTCGCGCTATGCCGGTTTGGGGAGGAAGAGGGATGGGAGCGGGAGGCACGGCTCGGGCACGCGCGCGGGGCAGGGTGCGGGGCAGGCGGCGCAGCGCGGCAGGGCGCGGGGCCGGATGGCGCAGGCACGGGAAGCAGGCGGTTGATGATGGCAGCGACCGCGCGGGCGCGCGCGCGCGAGGCAACGGCGCGTGGGGAGCTTGCCGGGGATGGAGCGGGGAGAGAGAGCGGGAGAACGAGAGAGAGAGGGAGAGCTCGGCTCGGCGTCGGCTCACGCGCATGCGCACGCTCACACGGCGCACGGGCAGAGCTGAGGGAGAGAGAGAGAGATGGGCCGAGAGGAAATCGGCCCACCGAACCTGAGGGAGGCAAAATAGACTTTTGCGGAGGAATTTGATTTGGGAAGGATTTGGATTCGGGATTTGAATTTGACGATAGATTGGGGATTCGAGATCAGGGATTGGCACGGAGACTGACAACAAGCAAAGAAACAGATTTTGCAATTATTTTTTTTTAGAATTTAAATTTTCCCGCTAGGCGCGACGGAACGGGCGCTACAGGCACGCGATGTCCGGCGGGGACGTACCGATCTTCACTGCCGCCGGCAACATTTTGGAGGAACCCCAGCAGGGGAGGTAGTCGCGGAAGCGGCGGAGGAAGGCTGGGTCGGTGAGGAGATGGCCTGCTTGCAGACGGCCGAGGCGCAGACGAGGCACACCAGCTCGGACGGCCGGACGAGGAGGATAATCTCGACGAGCCGGAGCAGCAGAACTCGTGGCTCCCCTGCCTTCGCTCCGCCCGCAACCTGGGCGCCGCTTCGCCCGCTGCGCTCGCCCGTCTCCTCTCTGCTACCGTGCGGGCCCGCCACCGCGCTCGCCCACCACCCCTTCGCTGTCGCGCGGGCCCGCATCCGCTACGCCCGCCGCCTCCGCTGCTGCGCGGCCCGCCGCCGCGTTCGCCCGCCGCGCGCCAATCGCCGCTCCGCCGACCTCCGGCCTCCCTGAGTTGACTGAAGAAGAGAAGAGAGAGGAGAGAAAAGAGAAGAGAAGGAGAAGAAAAGGAAGAATAAAAAATATGCGCAGCTGACATGTGGGCCCCACATACTTTTTTTAATAGTTTTTGCTGACTAGGATGCCACATCAACGAAACCACCCATGTATACTGCCCTGGGACCTTGAGTGCATGGTTTGTATGAGTTTAGGGGTATACATTTATGGTTTTGTGGTTAAGGGATCTCAAAAAATCTCGCTATTAAAGTTGAGGAACCTTCGGTGAACTTATTCCCAAGGAAAAGCAACCTAAAGTATCGTGGGCCTGATTGGGCCGTGTAATGAGAACGGGCTTGGCCTATGCTTGTAATGAGAGCAAGCATCCATTCGTACTGGCGATCACAAACAAAAACTTCCATCGTAATCAAAATCATGTGCTCTTCTTCTTGTGTAAACTCTAGATTCCATTACCCTTACTTCTCAAAAATAAAAATCCATCATCCTTTTTGTCAGCGCAACGAGTTCCTCTGTTTTTTTTTTTTGGTTTGAAAATAACGGAGAATCGGCGAGAGGTCTTGGGCTTTTGGCGAGGCTGGCGTGGTGGCGTGCCGTGTACAGTGTGCTAGTATAGCAATTAGCACCGCCCAAATCTGACGCTGCCTCCCCCCAAAATCTGTCTCCCTCCCTCCCTCTCTCTCCGTCTCTCTCCCTCCCAAACCCTCGCGCGCGCTCTGCGGCTTCTCTCTCTCTCTCTCTCTCTCGCTCGCTCGCTCGCACGCAAACTCTCGGGCGAGATCAGCGCAGGCCGTAGAGAGGGGAGGGAAATGGCGAGCGCAGAGGCGAAGGACGGGGAGGAGGTCATGGGGGAGGCACGCGAGGGTGATCCAGTGGACAAGGTACGCGCGATTTCCTCGCCCTCCTCCTCCAGCCGCTGCTAGGGTTCGTCGCGAGCTTGCGGCTAGCCGCTTGCTAGGGTTCGTCGAGAGCTTGCGATTTGAGGCGTTTTGCTCTACTGGCTTCCCGCTCCCCACCAGTTGATTCCGCTTGGTTTTTGTTTGATCCGTTGTGAAATATGCATACCTCAGTGCAGTGCTGATTAGGTCACCCCGGGTACGTGTTTGCTCGCGAGCTGCGGATTGTTGTTTGATTTGGGACCCGGGATCGCGTGTAACGAGTTGATGCGTGATCTCCGTTTTGCGAATTTTGTCGGTGGGCTTTTACACATTTTTGCGTGGGGATTCAAGCCGATTTGGAGCGTGATCTGTGTGTGTGTTTGTTGGGTGGGTGGGGGGGAGGTGGTGGTGGAGTGTGGGCCGCCAAGGGCGGGCCCCCGGACTAGTTGATTCCCAACTTTGATAGTTGTCAATTGTCTCAGAATTGTGTGGTATATGCATATAGTTCCGATCGGACGGATTTCCATACAAGCTCGTTGCTTCAATTATTTATTTTTTGAGGGGATGCAAACCATATACATATAGGAATCTCTAGAAAATGTTATCTAATTGAAGTCCCACTTCATTTCTGTTGATCAATTAGTGCGTCATCGTTCTTAATTTATTGTTTTACAAGCAGGTTTGGTACTTACCTTTTATTAATCTCTTTAATGCTGCTTGCATGTGGAACTGAGAGTAAGAGACACATTGATGTATCATGTGTATTGTCTTTGTTATGTAGGAATTTGGTCTGAACAGCACAATGTTTATTTCAATTTAGCCAGACATTGATGCAATATAAGTTATTTACTGAATGGTTTATTTGTTACAGAAATTCCCTTGGAAATGGTGGGTGGGATTTTAATGTGTGATGCTATTCCTTGCAACTGCACAATGCTCTAGACCATTAGGATACCGTTTATATTACAAGAATCAGTGCATAAGCTCATCTTTATATGTTTTTAGAAATTATGTACGGTGTAACTTTCTGTTTGAACAAAAGAAACCCATAGTATGTTGCTTATTCTGTGTTTCAGTAGCGAATGGCACAACACATCTGATGTATTTCTTTATGACATTGACTCATTCTCAATATTTCTTTATGTCGGTAGCAATAATTTGTGACATGTTGACGTTTCAATTTCTTCAATCTGTGATAACAGTCATGTTACTTTTATAAAACAGATAAGGAGGTTACTCCGTATTGCTATCTACAACATTGGATATGTTGAAGGATTTTTTCCAGATGCCTACTTCAGTGACATTGTAGTTCGAGAAGATGGTAACAATTGGATATGACGTCAAATTAAGGCTTTGTATCCAAAATCTAGTATATATGATATCAAGTTATCATATCAAATGACCTTTTGTTGCTATAGACATGGTGATAAAGCAGCTTGTCCCAATCGTAGATTCTGAATCAAGAAGGCTGATGAATTTGATAGATGAAGCTGAAGCATGTACTGAACTCACTCAATGATTTTACTGTTCTTTTTTTTAATGTACTATCTATCTCTTGCCTTACAATAGACCTTTGTTGTTTCTGTGGTCCAACATGTCTTTCACCATTATGTTTCTAAATTTACACGAGCAAATCATAGTCAGAATGCAACGACACCAAAGTACTTTGATGAAAATTCTACTGCTATAAATTCTAGCACAGAGTGTGTGATGATAATTTTCTAATTTGTTATTTCAACAAACTTTTGAAATCAAAATTTTAGGTTTGTGTGATGCACTGAAGAAGAAGTATTTGAAAACACTGGTCTTTTCCATCTGTGAAAAATACGAAGGCCCGGTGCTTCAGGAATTCATTTGTAAGTTATGCCTTGTGGAATCTGAATAACCTGTAATATTTATAATTTGGATTGGGAATCATATGTCACACATTTGCCTTTTATGTGCCAATGTTTACCTGCAGTCTCGTTTAGCTACCCCAGCACAGGTCCTGATGAAGTTGTGATGATGATGACTCGCACAGGAAGCAAAGTGATTACAAAGTTCGAAGCAAGTGCTGTCAAAGTAACTCCTAATCAAATGAGGTGGTTTCATACCTTAAATGCAATTTTCTTACATGAAATTGCATTTTCCGTACAAAAGTAGTTGTCTTCACAAACATTATGATTGTAAGAACTAAGAAGTTGGCAGCACAAACTAGGAGTCTAAAGACTTAAAATGTCACATGTTTTTTTCTTTGTGCAAGAACTAAGGACATACTGAAAATTGCTAGGCACATAGCTTATGATGTGGAAGTCTTTAAAAAATGAATGGCATCATAAGAACTTATTCAGTTCCATTAGCGGACACTACGGCCACAAACTATTCTTGGTTTTCTTCATTTGGCTTACAAGCCTGTAGTATTGAAGGTTTTGAGGTAGTCATCTTTGTAGAATTGATGTTTTTCATGTCCTAAAGATTACTTCATCCTTTTCTGATATGTGCCTGTTAGGTGGGAAAGTAAAATTGTCACCTATGATGGTCATATATTGACATTGCCACGGTTTTGTTTCAGGAGCTCTGCTTGTAAGATGATTCGGTTGATAGTTCAGCAGACAAGGACATACCCGGTACAAGAGGAGGTACTTTTTTCACATTCTACTTTTGTTGCAAAGTCACAACTGATTGTGATGAGATGATATTGTGGTTTGTTATGTTCAGCATGCTATTGAAATGAAGCTATCGTTCTACGAGGATACAACTGTGAGTAAAACTTTTTTTGTTGTTTATTTATTTAACCTTATTGATTCCTGGGAACCTCCACTACATATAACCTTATTTTTTTATCTCAACAAATAAGGAGATAAATTCCATTGTTCTATTTAAATTTGTTGGTTTATTTTCTATGTTGGCAGCCTGAAGATTATGAGCCACCTTTTCCCAAGTATTGTGTTAACAGTGAGGATGTAGCCATATGGAACAACAACATCTTGAAGATGGAAGTAGGGAATATAAACAACAAGCACGTTGTGTTAACATTGAAGGTAAAATGGAGAATAAGGCGGAAGGGCTTTGCCATGTTTTTCCCCTTTTAATTAAAGATGATTCTTATCACAGTTTGTTCCTTTATGCAGGTTAAGAGTGCCCAGTCCTACTGCAAGAACAGTATAGTTGATGATTGTTCTGACTATGAGGTGAACATCAAACAAATCATACAATGAGAACAAATTTTAGTATCATTAATGTGCAATGCTGTGTGTTACTACCATTAAGATACAGTAAATCTATATTCCTGTTTTCTTTATTATTTGAAGTGTTCCTTGACATAATCTTTCATTGTACCACAGATGTGCGAATGCGAAACATATGGTTACACTTCAGCTCCCAATGGTAATTGTTTCCTCAATAATGTTTCTTTGTACTTGGTGTTTCTGTAACTAATGCAAAGGTCCAAGTACCGGTACTATTGCAGAAGGTATATTTGGTGTGTGTAGCTTAATGTTTGCCAATGCGTAGGTTTATTCATTCCTTACCACTTAGAGAGCCATATTTTGTTAATTGAGTGATGTATTTGTATTTCCAGCACTTCTGAATTCGATACATGTTACTGCTGTTATTCTACATGCATGTTTGCTCTTTTGACATGCTATGTTTGCAGATGATACTGAAGAAGACTATCACACGGGAATGCTAGCATCACCAATTAAAGCATGGTACCCACAAGACACTGGAACTCAAATGGTAATTTACTATTGTTCCTTATATTGCTATTTTTTGTGCAAAGTTTATAAGGTCACACAAAAGCATTTAAAACAAACCATGCCTTGATACTGAAATTTGTCTGTATTCTTCCTTGAAATGCTTTGTGGTGTATTTTCAGATATAATTGTTGTCTATCAGTTGCCTTCTCCAATACTTGTTTTGAGCTGAGCTAACATGTGTGAATTGTGGTGCAGACGCGTAAAAGGAAAACTGGATTTGTGCTGGTATCTTCTTCAAAAAAGATCAAGTTCCTTTTGGATTCAGGTGCCTCTCACCATATTTGTAATGATAAAGCCATCATGCGCAATTTGAAGGACGTGAAGAAGGAGTACCAAGTTTCACTTGCTTCATGTGGTGGGTTAGAGCTGAAAGCGGAAATGATGGGAACTGTGGTCACAAAAGATATGAAACTCAGCCAAGTGGGCTATATACCTGAAATGGAATTCAATGTCGTATCCATTGGACAATTGGCAGTCCAAGGTTTGATAACAACAGGCGGGGATGGTCGGTTCAGTGTCATTGATGCAAAGGAAGCGAGAGTGGTTGGTGAAGGGCATTTACAAAGAAAAACAGAGAAAGTTGATGGCAGAGTATACCATGAATATGTATTCAAATCATTGATCCGGGAGATTGAAGGTGATGATGAGAAGTTAATTGAACCCTTGCGGGCAGATGATGATGAAATCGATGAGGAAGAGGAGGTGAGTCACTCATAACTCTCTCTCTAAGTTCTCAATAACTTTGGTTTCATATATTATCTTATCCTTTATTTTGGTCAATATGCAGAAGAAATGCTGGGTAATTGACACAGGGTGCGGGAGACACATGATTCCAGATATTAGTATACTAACCCAAGTCAAGCGTGAGGAGGTCACATTCCAAGCAGCATGTGGAATCGTGTCATCAACCCATAAAGGATTGGTCAAGGAGGGAAATCTCATATTGAGGGATGTGTTGTGCTGCCCAAAAGTCACAAGAAAAATGATATCAGGCCCAATGTTGGATTTAAGCGGCCATAGGTTCACTTTTAACGATAAGAAATGCTGCATAGTGCACAAGGATGGGTTGGAGCTGAGAGGGGTTGGCAAACTGGATAGGGCGACTAGAACGTACTTGTTGAAACCCGGTGAAGACAGTAGAGCAGCAGCAGCAGCAAAAGAGGAGCCAAAGATGTTGGCAGCAGCAGCAGAAGGATATGGTGGACCAAAACAAGAAGCCGACACGAAGAATATGAGGGGCAAAGGCAAGAAGACTGCCCAAGCAACTAAGAGGCTGCGACTTAGTTAGACATGAAACCTGAGAGTCCACCCCACACACGGGAGAATCGGATACTTCACTAGAATTGGTGTTCATCTTGAATGTTCATTGTCAACCCAATCTTGATTGTCAACCGTTTTGGCATATTTTCAGTGCAACTGCTTACAGTACTTTGGTAGGGTTGTACTGTGTACCTGATGAGTGGACTACTTATCTGATTTCAGTCATTGATTGAGTACATTTAAGTGTACTGACTACTGACAAGCTTCATTTATCACACTGATTGTTCCAATTGTTTACTTCCATTGCGTCTCTGTTTGTGTGGTTCTCTCTGATGTATTGTGCCTGTTCTTTGTGGTGGTGTTGTTTGATGTATTCACTGTGTGTGTGTGTGTGTTTCGTCGTCTATCTTTGGCTTGCGTTGTTGTAATATGCGGCGTCGGTGCGATAGGGCGGGATGCTATTCTCTGATGGATAAAAATTGGATAAGATTGGCGTCAATAATGCTGTTCCAAGCTTTGATTTAATTGCTGATCGATGTTTGATGACTAATTATTGTCTGTGTGATCGCAGTATGAATGGATACTTGTATTCTTTCCTCTTGGCCAGCTCTCTGCAGGTACAAGCTGCGACCTGCGAGACACCCGTCCATGTATTTGAAGACGCTGAAGCACTCGCTGTGTGATCGCCATCCACAGATGCTGCATCTCCGCCCGCCGTCGCCTCCTCTTTGGTCGTCATCGTGGTGGCTGCCATGTCCCGTTCTGCTGATTCTTCGGGCCTGTTCACTTTGATGCCAAAAAAAACCTTACTAAATTTTGGCAATACCAAATTTTGACAACTATGCCAAAATTTTGGTAGGATTTTTTATATAGTTATTAAAATTTGGCAGCAAACTAAATGTAGCCACTTTTTTAGCAACTTTACCAAAATTTAGTAAGGTTTAAAATGGCATCAAAGTGAACAGACCCTTCTTCTCTTATTATTGTTCTTGTTGCGATCGAATACCTAATTATATTTATTTATCTCTATATTAATCGCTGTTGTATACGGATACGGTAATGAATTTCCAAGTTAAATTATAATGTTTTTTAAGTATGATCTCCAATATGGCAATATCCCAACACATCGATCCATCGATGCGAAGGCCGCAGGCATGATGAAACGCAAGGAGATATCATCAGATCAGTCAGACGTCGACCCAGATGAAGTCGTCGCCGTCGCCGGCGATGATCGTCTGAGCAGCCTCCCTGACGACTTGATCTGCCGCATCCTCTCTTTCCTGCCCACCCGGGAAGCCGCGCTCACGTCCCAGCTGTCGCGGCGGTGGCGGCGAGTGTGGCCCGCGGACGTCGCCGCGCTCAACCTGGACTGGACTTGCCGATGCGCCAGCTAGTTGTAGTTCGCCGCTCTCGCCAGCCGCCAGGGAGGCCCTCCTCCGGTTCCCGACCACCGGCATCCCCTCCTTCTCCCTCGAGATCGACCACTACATCAACGTCGCCGCCGACGGATGGTAGTTCAGCCAGGCGATGGAGCGTGCCATCGGCTCCGTGCGCGTCACCGTCCTGACACTTCCCCGACGACGATCATCAGGTGTTCGGCAGATTGGCCGAGCTGAGCCTGTCGTCGTGCTGCCCGCGGCTGAGGCTGCGCGCCGTGCGCCGGCTGGCCCTCCACACGCTGGACCATCTCGAGGTCCTCGACATCAACGGCGTCGACGACCTGGAAGCCCTCGACGTGTCGGCGCCCAAACCTCCGGTGCCTGAACCTGAACGTCCGCTCCTGCTTCCGCCGTCTCCGCGCCGAGTATCGAGGCCGCCGGCTGGCACTGCAGCTACCCGGAGCATCTCACCCTTCCGCTCCGGCCTGGCGCGTGTTCGCCGGCTCGACGGGCCACTCAAGCTCGCGGTGGTCCGGCGGCGCGACCAGTTCGATCGACGCCCCTTACACCATGCAGCTCCTGCAGGCCTGCTCTCTCGCCGTCGGCCATCTCGCCATGGAGCTCGTGATGCCCAACCAGCTGAGGCTGACAGCGGCGGCGACGCTGTCGCCGGCGAGTGCGAGGACTTGAGGGAAGTGCACCCTTTCCCTCTTCTCTCTCCTCAAGGCCAGCCCGTTTCCTTTCCCCCAGATAGGCCGGCCCATTCCGTCACCGTTCGCTCCACCCATCATCCCAGCCCAAGTGCCCAACCGCCGTGACGGCCCGTTTCCCCCACCACCCGCCAAGTGCTCGACGCAATGCTGCGCCGACGCACCGCACCATATGCCGCGTCCACTTTGGCATCTGTGTCCCTTCCGCGACGTCACGTCACCCGATGATCGAGCAGCCACATTATATGATCATATAACAATAATAAACTATAAAACAAATATAGTATCGATTATCGATCACACCAATTGCTGAAATTAAATTAATTTGTACTTCCTCCGTTTCACAATGTAAGTCAATTCTAGTATTTCCCACATTTATATTGATGTTAATGAATCTTTATATATATATATATATATATATATATATATATATATATATATATATATATATATATATATATATATATATATATATATATGGAAAATGCTAAAATAACTTACATTGTGAAACGGAGGGAGTATATACGTGTTACATTAGTAGTAGCACTTAAAAATTAAGATAACTAATAGTTTATTAATATTTATTTTTTTTAATAAAAATTGTATGCTAGGCACTTGGGTAAGCCCAATCTACCCGCAAGCTACGGCCACCGAAGCTAAAGCAGTTGAGCCCCTCGATGGCCTCGTCGGCGTGCTCCCGCCGCTCGAACACGACGGCGGCGAACCCCTTGCACTCCCGGGGCCCGTCCATGGCGACGTGCCACATCCGCAGCGGCCCGAACCCGGTGAGGAGCCCGGCGAGGTCGGCCGGCCGGCAGCTCGCCGGCAGGTTGCTCACGCGCACGAAGCGGCGGAGGAAGCGGCGGCGCTCCGACGCCCCCGCCGCGTCCCCCCTCCAGGCGGCGCGCCTCGCCCGGCACGGCACGTAGCAGCGCGCGGCCGCCGGGGCGAGGTAGTTGTAGGGGCACGTGAGCTCCGTGTGCTCCTCCTCCTCCGCCTCCGCCACCGTCGTCGCCGCCGCCGCCTCGCCGCCGCAGATGCAGCACGACTCGGCGTTTGGGTCCTTCCAGAAGTTGATCGTCGCCGCCGTCGACGACGCCGCCGCCGCGGCGTTCACGTCCATCTCCTCCTACCTGAAGCTTGTTCCTCAAAGCTATCTAATCTAGCTATGATCGTTAGTTTATCGGCATGCATGGAGGGACTTTTAATTTATGAACAATTCCTTTGTTTGCCGTGGACGACGGACCGTACGCGGAAACAATTTCTACTTGAGCATACGGTCCGTCGTCGATCTATACCGCAAGCCACCTGATCCAACGGTAGTTATCCATCGGGTAATTTGGAATATGCCATTATAATTTTTCAAAGTTTAAGATATACCATCGGTATCTCAATGATATGTAGGACCCACATAGGACTCAATGATATGTGGGTCAAAATGTCATATCTCAAATTTTACAAAATTATAATGGCATGATTACAATTTTCCCTTATCAATTTCCGTTTCCGAACCACACCGGGTTGTGTTAGTTGCTGGGAGTTTCCATCTCTCCACCCTCGTTTTTCGCACTCACGCTTTTCAAACCGTTAAACGGTGAATTTTTTACAAAAAATTTCTATACGAAAGTTGCTTAAAAAAATTAAATTAATCTATTTTTTTAAATAAATTAAAAAATACTTAATTAATCACGTGCCGATGCATGGCTCCATTTTACGTGCGCAATGTGCACACGTTTCCTATCCGGCTGACCCCTAGGGACTACGCAAGGCAATTCATGTTGGCTGGGCCTAGATGATGATATCGGCTGGGCCGGATCGGGAACGTGATGGGCCCAGCTAGAATACACGGCCATGTAAATACTGGGCGGTCCGTACACTGTACGTGCTACTCCGAGCAAACAAATGATTTTTACATCGGTATTTAAAGAGAAGTATAAAAATTACACCACTCCTACCATATTATCTAATCTAATTAAGAGAGTATAAAAATTACAATTTACATCGGTAAAAGCGTATCTCTCGTTTCACTTTGTAATAATAGGTTTAGGTTAAAACTTATGGAAATTCCATGAAATTTCATAAAATCTGATTGGAGCTTTCGTGAAATTAAACCTCATTCAAAAGTAGCAGTAAATTCGTATTTGAAAGTAGTATAAATCCAAGTATTTCAAACCAAATATTGCAGGGTTTAGGCTAAAACTTATGAAAATTTCATGAAATTTCATAAATTCTGATTGGAACTTTCGTGAAACCTCATTCAAAAGTAGCAGTAAATTCGTATATTTGAAAGTAGCATTAATTAAATCCAAATATTTCAAACCAAAATCTTGATGTGTAAAGCTGCTCCTGGTGATTGATTAGGCGGGCGGCAACGCAACCTCCCCCTCCCAACCCAAAATTTTTCCCCTTCCCTTTTCTTCTCCCATCCCTTCGGTTCCCCCCCCCCCCCCCGCGCCAAAACCCCAATCTCCTCGCCCTCCGCCGCCGATCGCGGCGGCGCGGCGGCGATGCCGATCGAGATCGACTGGGAGGAGGTGATGCCGACCACCACCACCGCCTCCTCCTCCCACGGCGACGATGTCGAGGTCCGCTTCGTCTCGACCTCCACGCGGTCGTCGGTGGCGCAGCGGCTGCGGCCGCGGGGGGCGAGGACGGAGGAGGAGGCGGAGATCGTGAGGATGAGGGACGACGAGCTGCGGAGGGAGATGGCGTTCGCGGGCCGCCTCCGGCCCCGGTTCGAGGGGATCCTCTGCGACGGCGGGGAGGGGAACCGCCGCCGCCGCGCGCTGCTCGAGGCCGAGGCGCGCCGCCGGGGGATCGGCCCTGCCGCCGCGAAGGTATTCTGCTCGTGTGTGATCGGATTGGACTGGGTTGTAGCTGCAGCTTCGTTCCCCCATGAGATTGGAGTGTTTGATCATCCATTTGTGGAGCAATTAGTGTGCATTTCTGGCTTATGTTTGTTGGTTAGTCCACTAACCAGTGTCCTTATTATTATTTCAGGATGGAGATGACCGTCACTCTACCTCACGCGATGTATTCAGTTTCGGTATGATCTTCGCATTCAGTGTCGGTGCTGTTTTTTCTAGGCTTATACCACAACGCCAACAGAATGATTAGGAGTTTTTTTTTTTGTTCATCTGCTGTATTAGTGAATTCCTGTGGAAAACACATTCGGTTAGTCTGACGAGTAGGGGGGTGGGGTGGGGGAGCCTTTACTATTAAACTATATACATTGTCAAGGAATATAGATTATAGTATTTGGGAAAACTTATCACCATATGGTAAAAGATACCTTGGTTGGCTTTTTAGGGATAATAGACATGGCAATGGGAGATCATTTGCTGTTGCCTTTTTATATTCTGTTTCATCAAGACAAAAGGTACATCCTGATGATCTACCATTGACACAATATTTATATGCCTCGGTGTGTTTGCAGATATTGAAGATCAGCTTGGGGAAGATGCATCTCGCAGGTTCTGTGGTAAACCATGGCCCGTTTCTTCTACAAAGGAGAACTATGGTCAGGTATACAGTAATGTGATGACGTCATTTGGCTTTCTTCTTTCTCTTTTTTTCTTCTTTTTTTTGGGGGGTGTGGGGGGGGGGGGTGCGTGCGCGGGTAGGTGAGGGGTTTCTTTTGATATTCCATAGTAACCAGGATGAGATATGTTTTCTTTCAATGCAGCTAGGTATTGAAACACGGAGAAGTTCAAGGCAAATTGAACAGCGGAAACCCATTTCAGTGGATAAGATGTACTCGAGCAAACCATGTTCTTCAACTTTATCTGGGCACAAACTGAGAGTTCATGCCATTGATCCTGATGAGAAAGCTGATGATGAAAAATCTGAACCAAGTACAAGATACTCTTTCAGAAATTATATTAAGAAGTATGTATCAATAACTGTTAAGCTGTTTAGAACGCTTGTTCTATGTATTCCTTGTTCAACCTGAGCTGTTACTGAATTTCAATAATTTTGCCTTAACATTATGTGTAAGTAACTAACTTTTTTAAGCATGCTTGATGTTCCATGATGACACCGTGCTATTATTAGAGAAATTCCTAGTTACTTCTGTAGTTCTGTTGAATCGCAGATATATAAGTGATGTTTACTACTGCATCTTTTTTTGAAATTCCTATTAGTAAGGAAATATTTTTGTAACATTGTGAATTTTCTATGATGGGTTCATTCTGTTCTGTAGTATTGCAATACTTGTTATTGTTCATGAAATTTCGAAGATAGAGATATCAAGAACCTTTAATCCTTCCAACGAGAAATGTAACGAAACCTTTGTATCTTTGATTGATCTAGAGTTCATACATGCACAGTTATGTGTCCAGCAAGGTCATGCTTCTGGAGCACTCTCATTATTAACAATTCCATCTCTTATGCTTCTTTAGTCCAGTATAGGCGTATTTTACTTTTTTGGTCTTACATTATGGGTAGGAGTATTTTTGGAATCACTACTCACTACTTTGTTACTCTGATTCGGGCATCGCTTAATGGAAACATACCATTGAGTCGATAGGTAGGAATCTAATTTCTGGTGGGACTCTAGTGTGAGAAGTATCACCTAGTACCTCACATCTCTTTTCATGTATCAGTTTGATGCATTGATATGTTAATTGTGTATTATTTTGTTCAATCAACGAAAAATTCCTCTTCAATTCTTCTTTGCAGGAGGAAGGAAAAACATCAGTCGTGTCTCTCTGATTTTCAAAAGGTGGGTACGCTGATAAGTGATAAAGCATCTATCCCAAGATGAACCTATTCTTTTCTGTAGTATCTTCTTCCATACAAACTATCATATTTCCCTACTGATCTATTGAATGCTCAAAGCACTGTCTATTTCATTTTGGATCAATAGCTAAAAGTGAGAATTAAACAAGCTGCATGTATATGCATTTCTTTTCCATGCTGTACATAACTGAGGATATTATGTTTGCCAGACTTCACGAACTCTATGATGACTGAGTGGGTGGTGATGTCTTTGGTTTGTTGTTGCGATATGCTTTCATTTAATAGTTTGCCCATTCCAGTAAATTCTTTGCTTAGAAATTTGGCCATCATACATTGTATGAGTGAAAATCATTATATTCCCTCAGTATTATTATGTATGGCACATTAGTGGTGATCCTAATACCACATGCAAGTTTCACTATTCAAATTAAAATGTTTGACCTATCAGGTTCAAGACGTAGTTCTCTTGGATGATGAAGATGTTCAGCCTGAGGGTCAAGTAGACTGTAGGATGCATGACAGAAGGTAAGCTTCTCGAGAAAATTGTGTTGTTGTGTACTTCAAGCCACAATATTGATTTATGTAACATAACAAATGTGTTTTCAGGAACGAGACCATGATTTACTACCCATCAAGGTGAACATTTTCCATTCTTTCTGAAAGTTTTGATTTCATGGAAGTGTTTTTTTTCCTTATGTTGTTAATGTTATTTATATGAACAGAGATGATCCAGAAGCTGTAGAGCTTAGCAGCTCAGATATTAAATGTCTTGATCCTGGGGTATATTTATCATCACCAGTGATAAACTTCTACATTCAGTAAGAATGCACCTTGTTATCTTTTAAGTTTGAGCTTTTAACCATTCTAATATCTAAAATATTCTTTGGAGACTACTTGAGTGTAATCTTTTTCTTCCTTTAAAAAGAAATAATTGGTGCAGGATTTGTTTTGATGCTAGTTTTTCTGCCATTTGACATTTAAATATATAAAACAAAGTCAAGATATTTAAAATGATATGCATTCCTGATCAATCTAGTTGCACAAAAAATATGAATACCTCATAAAGTTAGGACTCCTGAATTTGGATTATATCTCATTTTATAAATATTGTTAGTTTACTCTTTCTACATAATGTTATGGCAGGTACATGAAGAGGACCAAACTGCATGATGATGATTGCAGAGAAAAATTCTACATATTTAACACATATTTCTATAGCAAGCTTGAAGAGGCTTTATTGGGGAAGGTACTATTGTGTGCAATGAACACTATGTTTTCTGCCGACTGTGTTTCTTTTCTTGACGCAAAAAGAGAAGGTTAACTCTATTGTCGTGGTTGCCATGAGTGTGGAGTACAAACCTTAATCACTCTCTCCATAAAAAGCAGTATGAAGAATACCACTTCTGTTTTGTAGTAGTGCTAACATTGCTAGTACCCTGATTCTATTGCTGTTTGTTGATCTCTTCTGTTATATCTGCTGTTATATACCTTTTATGATGCTTTATCTCATTTTGCTTCTCAGTGTTGTATTATCTTCACATGATAATGTTGGACTGAAATATTGTATATAGCTCATCTCACATAGAGACGTTTTAATTGGTTGCTTGTTCTAGGGTGAGTTTCTGAAATTGAGAAGATGGTGGAAAGGTGTCAATATATATCACACATCATACATCATCTTGCCAATCCATGGAACGTAAGTTGCTATTCATACGGATAATAATTCAAACATTTTCTTGAAATATTCACACCAACATTGTATGTTACTGCTAGTGTGCCTTTAATGCCATACCTTGTGTAATTGTTTACAGTAGGTTTCAATTTATGATGAGTTTGCCTATCTGCATTCCTAAATCAGGGCACACTGGAGCTTGATTATCATCTGCTTTCCTTCCAAAGAAAGTAATTCAGGGCCGATCATACTTCATCTGGACTCCCTTGAGCTGCATTCGAGTGCTAAGATTTTTGACACCGTTAGGAGGTGAGTGGCTGATCTCCTATTCATAATTGATCATGTTAAAAGTTGTTTTCTGCCACTATTTTGTGGATAACTTAACCTTATACTGAGTTCTAGCGCAAGTGACCTCTTTTCTGATGTTGGCAACTATACATGTTATAGATACCTTGAAGCAGAATGGTGCCATTTACGGAAGAATCCCCCTCCCGATATTTCAATTTCAGAGACAATATGGGATGATCTTCCAAGCAATATACAGAAAGAAAAAGTTCAGGTAAACCTTTGTTAGACATGTGATGTACATATCAATAGTATTAATCAATTAACATTCTATTAGAAGGTTATGGTACAATTTTGTTGTGCTTGTTTGACTGCATGCATATTGAATATTTGTGTTGAATAATTGTTCAGATTACAGTAATGCTGCAATAAACACTTAGATGTTTTTGCGCTTAATTCAATTTGTACACAATTTTCACACCTGCCAGGTTCCACAGCAGAAGAATGAGTATGACTGTGGTATCTTCATGCTTTATTATATTGAACGGTTTATAAGGCTAGCACCAGAAAGATTCACTCGAGATAATCTTAGCATGGTTAGTGGCCCTGTCATTTTTCTGTACTTGTTTCTTGTAGAACTTCATCTGTTTAGATCTCAGTGTGTTTTCGAAATTTTAACACTGCGGTTGTAATTGTTATACAGTTTAGTCGTAGTTGGTTCCAGCCTGAAGATGCTTCTGATCTAAGACAGAGAATACGAGAACTGCTGTTGGAAGAATTTGAAAGTGCCAGGCTGGATGAAGCTTTGTCGGAGGCTGACACATCTGACCGATCCGATAATGAAGAAGATGCCACAAAGAGCGCAGAATCAGAACAAGCAGCAGCAGCAGCAGCCCCTGGCAATGGTAGTTCAGAAATGATCGTAGAGGGTGGAGACACTGGCATAAGTAATGAAGACATCAAGGGGGTCGCGGCATCAAAAGAAGCAAGCTCTAGCATCTGCAGAAGCGCTGACAATCTCGCGGGCTGTGTTCTTTTGGAAGAAGCTACATTGTCGGATAGCGTGATGAAGGATGAAGAAGACACTACAAAAGCAGATCCTGTTAGCTCACAAGATGAACAAGAAGTTGCAGTTTTATCCCCTGGTGCATGGAAAAACAGTGAAGAGAACACACATAAACAGCCACAGCCAGATATATGTTGCGACAGCTCCGACAGTGAGATGGACGATGTGAAGATCATTGAAGATCCATATCAAAGAACTAACAAGCAAAATTGTCGCATCTTTTGACATGAAGGGCTCATGCGTCACACCATCTGTTCCATTTCCAGGATGATAAACAAAATTTGGCAGATGCTTGTGCATGCAAAAATTTTGGAGATGCCTGTTGCCACATGCCAAATGGATGATGTGACTACCTGATACAACATCTCAACTGCATGATGGTTGTTGAATTGAAGAAGTAAATGAGTGAAGGTGGGTTACACATAATCTGCCTCCCTCTCCCTTCTCTTGTTCTTTGCCCATGGTGGTAGTTTTTTTTTTTTTTTTTTCCTTTCATTTTTGGCAGGAAGACCATGGTGTAGTCACGGGAAGTGTACAGTGTACAGGCCAAGCATATACGGAGTAGGTCAGAATGCTAGTTATGTATGGACACATTGTTTATATTCCTAATATGAGATATTAAGCTATTGAAATACTTCCAACATGTTTTTGGAGTCAACGTGATGTGTATATATCATATTCTCTGAATCTGCTGATGAATTTACTAGTGTCTACGAATTTATTCAGCCAAATCACGTGTAGTTCGATTGTTGTAAAATAATGTTGTTATTGGTTAAGATAGGACAACTCAAAGTTAAAATCGACAGTTATTTGTGAATGAAGGCACAAGGGCGGATTTTAAGTTAATAAAAACTTTGATAATAATTGGCTATGGTGGTATAAAGAAAAAACAAGTATAATTTGGTAGCGGACAACTTTGGACACAAGTGGCCGTGCATGTATTATTATTCCTTTCTTGATCTATGAGATAAGCTATTGAAATACTTCCAACATGTTTAAAATTGAGGCAATATGATATATATTGCATATTCTTTCCTTTGATATGAGACCATATTATTCCTTGTCCAAAAATACTTCAAAAAAGTATTCCTCTCCAAAAATGCTGGCGAATTTATTCCCCTCTTGTTTTGCACGTTGATTAACGATACTTAATTTGGTCAATCTTGGGATGGATTCTTCCAGCTATTCTGAACCTTTTTCTTAATTAAACACTGATGCATGTGCATGGCATCAAGATTAGATCACCGCGGCAGCTGCTAGTGGATGACCATGCGACGATCATCTGGGAAAAAAAAATGCTGCAGATAAGAACAATCTATCAGAGATCGTTTATATTATTAATTAATATATGATGCTGAAGATATGGTAATTTTAGACCGGGGAAACGAATTATTGGAGCATTTATTACTTTGTGCTAAAGCTACCAAAGCTGGCTTAGATATTACAAAGACTTCTCTAATCTTCTCAATTTAATAACAAATCATGCATGGTTATTCTAATCACCAGAGAAATACCTACTCAGGTCACCCATGCTTTCCGGAAGGCAGGAGCATTTTGCTGCTCATCGACGTTTTAAATGCCATGCAGATGCAATCACAGACCAGCTCTGTTATTTTGGCTGCTTTCTCGTCATGCACGTCTTAAACATCGGACCTGATATACTCGTATATCGACATGAATCGATTGGTACATTGGATCAATTCTATCAATCATCTATCGTTGATCTTTGTTAGTTGCAGAATCAAACTAACTGCTATGTCCTAAACACTATTATTTAGGATCAACGTTAAAATTAAGCAGATCTTTTATGTGTCACGACGTATTTTGCGTCTACAAATATACACTAGTATAAGATAATATTGCTTGATCAGAATAGGACCTATCCTGATGCTGAATTGCTGACCAAGCTGGGCAGCAGTTTCCTAATCATCCACCGCTACCGCTCTCGTTAATTGCACATCGCGTGCATGATTACATATCTAAATCGTACCAAATCAAGCAGCTGATTTCCCGTGGCAAACACCTCAACCAATTCCGTGGAGTACCAATTTGCAACTCCCTCTTAAATAAGCACTAGCCATGAACTACTGTACTTTGCCAAAATCCAGCAACTTTTTCAGAAAGAAGTGTACTGAAGCAAAGCCTCACAAAACACTCTGCTGATTTGTTTGATCGATGTTAATTAATTAGTTAGAAGCAAGTTAACACGACACGCCCTAGCTGATTGGTGATACTAATTAAAATGCTTTGAGCAGCTGATTACTTCAACGTGCCCATCATTTTCGTTGCTTTCACCTCCAAGCTTCCAGCTTTAATTCCTGGTATCATCACACCGGCAGCTTGACAGCTTCTGAAACTGTTCTCAGGCTGAAAGAAAAAAGAAAATGTCCAGGTGCGATGAACCTGTCATGCTGTCACTTTATATGGAGAAAATTGGTTATAAGCTCCCCATTTTCTTGCTCTGTCCCATCCCATGTGTTCTTCATCAAGGACGCATGAATTGCATATAAAACAATTTGATCCCCTTTCTTTTGTAAAATTAGGAAACCATCCTTTAAATAAGGCTTTACTGCTCTTGTCGTTGTCAAAAGATATCAATTTATTTGTTGGTTGGGGGAAGAAAGCGAATTATAGTACAGTGACATAGATATGAATGATGACTACAGTGACAAAATGAACAATTGTGTGTAAGCTAACAATATCAGTAAGACAGTAAAGCACATTGAAAATCTTTACATTGTTACATATGCCAGTGAATATTTACGTATACCGAAAAAAATCTGTTTTTTTTTTTAGAAAAATGACAAGAACATGAGTGTAGGATGATAAACCTGCCTACATCATCACCTATATGCAAATGACAAATGCAGGTTGGAAAAGCTCCAAAAGTGTGATAGTTGGCAGCCACAAACAACCCATCCATACCTAGTATCATGATAAGCTGCTTTCAGTGCCACACGTGGATTGCTCTAGTTCAATTCTCGCAATTTGTAACTCCAGAATTTTCGTCACAGGATGCCAGCCCATGTTGCGTAATACGGTAACCAAGATCACATCGAACATAATCTATCTTGGAGAAGCTCAAAGTCACAAGTTATCGACCTAATTAACGGGCAAAACGAATGAGGTCTCATGAATTTCATATGTCGAGATTATCAAATGCATGACTCAACCTATCATGTATAGGTGTTCCTTATTGTTTGTTACCGTGGAAACAATATTACCGTCGGGTACACTAACAATAAGGATCTGATGACCTCTTCAAGTTTTAGAAAAATAAAATAAATTTTAGTAAATTTCATTAGGTTTTTCCAACGTTCACCACAATAATAATCATATAGTTATCGGATTTATCATTGGAGTGTATACTAACCCCTCCTTCATCGGTAAGGTAAGGTAAACCCTAATGTTTGGAATTTCTTAAGTGCTGAGTAAATGGTCAACATTTATTGACAATCATTCTACCATAAATTAGTATATTATTGAGAATTATTATTTCGATGAAGAATAATTAATTAGAGATGATTTTGTACCTTTTTATCACCTTTAGATGGAAGGGCCTATTCACTTTGATGCCATTTTCAACCTTACCAAATTTTGGTAAAGTTGCCAAAAAATTGGCTACATTTAGTTTGCTGCCAAATTTTGACAACTATATAAGAAATCCTGCCAAAATTTTTGCAAGTTGCCAAAATTTTGGTAACTATGTCAAAATTTTGGCATTGCCAAAATTTAGTAAGGATTTTTTTGCAACAAAGTGAACATGCCCGAAATTCTCAGATAGGATTCAATAATAAGGGTTCTTTTACCTTATGACGGTGTCTTTTAGTTTGTATTTATATCATGTGATGTGTTTATTTATGTGTGGACTTTGTAATAATTGATGGTAGCTTGTTGAGCAAAACCGGAACGCTATTTTATTATTAAAAAAACTTAATTAGAGATGCCTATGTGATTATCCAAAAAAAAAAAGTATTGACAGCAAAGACGAAGGGGATAGGCATAAACCCTTTCTCTGTGGTGTCAGCAGCCGAACCCAACTGCAAAAGGCGCCATTTTTTTCCCCTCTTTCCCTCGTCTTCTTCCTCCAAATCCTTCGCCCCCTCCTATAAATCCACCTCGCGCAAATCCAAATCCAAATCCAAGCTCGGAGAAGAGACCTACCTACCTACCTACCTACTCTAGGCGGGAGAGATGGTGGGGAAGAGCGGGGTGGCGGAGGAGGGCGGAGCGGCGGCGGCGGCGGCGGTGAGGAGGTGGGTGGAGGCCGGCGGCGGGAGGCTGGTGATGGACGGCGGGCTGGCGACGGAGCTGGAGGCCAACGGCGCCGACCTGAACGACCCGCTCTGGAGCGCCAAGTGCCTCCTCTCCTCCCCGCACCTCGTCCGCAAGGTCAGCCCGCAATCTGGCGATCATCTCGCCTGTGTTCTTCCTGCTCGTTACGATTCCTCCTCTAGTCTAGCATTCGGTCCTTTTTGTTTTGTCTCGTGCTATCTGACGAATCTGTGGAACTGGAGTAGAACAGCAGCGATGCGTTCGCCTTGATTCTTGATGCGAGCGAGCATTGTTAACCAAAAAAAAAAAAGAAGAGAAGTTATTTAAGATTTGGAAATAAACGACTAGATCAATTGAAGCAGTAAGGGTTATGAAATTGATAGGTCACTAGTTTACTGGAGTAGGGAAAAGTTTTTTTCTGCTTGCCCCTAGAGTGTTGGAACTGGGAAATATCTTGTTCTAAAAAGAATATTAAAAAGAGCATTGGAAATGTCCCCACGGTTCCATTATAATAAGCTAATTGCTATACCATGGACAGGACAGTATCAAACAAGTGTTTCTTTTTACCAACTCTTTTTTTAAAACTAAAACTTTTTTTTTACTGAGTGGAGTACTCCATTCGTCTAAAAAAACCAACCTAAATTGGAGGTGATATTTCCTAGTATAACGAACATTGGTTTTTTTTGGGACGGGTGGAGTAGTAAAGAAGGGGAAAAAACCCAGCAATTTTCTGTGCTTCTACTTCTGTGGACTGTCTGATTTTGGGAGTTCAATGATGTTTTGAAGGATTGACTTGATACGCGAGTCAAGCATGCCGGCTAGGTGCTTTTGTGCTGTCTTTCTCCGAAGGTAGTCTTGTAGGATAAAGTGCAGACCAGCTGCTGAATCTGCCCACAGCATTTGCCAACTGGAGTATATGCCAGTTGCCAAACTTATTCTGGCATTTTGGGATAGAATTGAATTCTTATTCCAAAGCATAATTGAAGTCTTAACTGTTTTCCATGACCTGAGCTGAGATCTGGGGGGATTGGCCTTGCTGGTCCAAGTTTCATGGGCCATGTATCCTGGTCCTAGTCTGTCTGTTTTCTGTCCTTTCAGATGATAATTGTGGATTGGCATGTCACAATTACCTGGTACTGTTATGTGAAATAATATGAGAACTATTACTTAAAATGCACAGATTTTTATATTTTTGCAGTGCTAAGGAGTTGCTAACTTTCCTTTTTTTTTTTCCTCTGCTGTATGTACCTAATAAATGTAGTGTACTATTTTCGATCTGACCAATTATTTTGCATGCAAAGAGCTGTTTACAGATTATGACATCATACATTCTCCTTATGTGATGGAACAGGTCCATTTAGACTACCTAGAAGCAGGTGCAAATATCATAATCACAGCGTCATACCAGGTCAATTATATATTTCCACGCATTTTTCCAGTATATATGATATTCTTGTATGAACAGTTCTAATATATTTGATGTTGCAGGCTACAATTCAAGGCTTTGAATCCAAGGGATTTTCAAAAGAACAAAGTGAAGACTTGCTCGCAAAGAGTGTTGAGATTGCACGTGAAGCGCGTGACATGTTTCTGAAGGAACATTCAGATCGTCCCATACAACATCCTATCCTGGTTGCAGCTTCCATTGGAAGTTATGGGGCCTATCTTGCTGACGGCTCTGAGTACAGGTACTTAACTACTTAATAGAGCAGAGCACTCATTTTCATGTATTGCTTCTGGGTAATCACTGTTTCTCTGGTGTTGTTAGTGGGGATTATGGCGAAGCTGGCACGTTAGAATTCCTGAAAGATTTTCATAAGCGAAGGCTGGAGGTTCTTGCGGAAGCAGGTCCTGATTTGATCGCCTTTGAAACAATTCCCAACAAATTGGAAGCTCAGGTATGTTATTCATTACTACTTACACCAGGGATCTTTTGCCTCTCATTTAACAATGTGTTCTTACAAAATAATCTCTATTGTTTCGCTTGCTGGTCTTTAGGCTTACGTTGAACTTCTTGACGAATGTAACATCAGTATCCCTGCATGGTTCTCATTTAATTCAAAAGATGGAGTTCACATTGTGAGTGGAGACTCGTTAATTGAATGTGCTACTATTGCTAATGGGTGTTCGAAGGTTGGTGCAGTTGGAATAAATTGCACACCTCCAAGATTTATCCATGGCCTGATACTCTCCATTCGAAAGGTATGTAGTTGTACATGCTTTTCAGGTTCTGAAACATGTTTGAGCTCAGTGTCCTATGTCCTGGTGAAAGAATCATGTTTCCTGCTTGTTTGTGCTTGTACAAATTATATAAAACATGCTGATTGAGCAAGCCGTATATCTCTTCACTTGACTACTTGCGCATTATCACAGGTCACAGATAAGCCAATTCTGATATATCCCAACAGCGGAGAAAGATATGATGCTGAGAAAAAGGAGTGGGTGGTAAGTTCATCTCAAGGAATATACATGGATTTGAGTAGAAACATTCTTCTGATCATGAAAATTCCAGCAATCAAATACTTTGGTGCTTTCTGAATAAACGCATTCTGAAGTGCCAGAAAAACTATACCATCACCTCTGCCAGTCTACTACTGTAATTTTGTTTGAAAACATAGGAAAATCAAAGGCCTGCTTTCTGTTAAACATAAAAGTGATTCTCTAGTATTTCCCAACTAATATAATCTTTGAGGTTAGTCTTAAATACTAAACATCTGCTGCATTTTGGTGTGCAGGAATCAACTGGCGTGTCAGACGGTGATTTTGTTTCCTACGTAAACGAATGGTGCAAAGATGGGGCTGTCCTCATTGGCGGCTGCTGCAGGACAACTCCAAACACCATCAAGGCCATAAGTAGATCACTTAACCAACGCCACTCTTCGCTGCATTTACCTGTGGCATAGAGTTGCACGCTCCTTCAGGTGTGCTACTCATGCTGGTACCTGAACCTGATGAACATATCCTGGAGGTCCTTACTAGCAGCATGATGTTCTCTGCTGCAAATGAGATGGCTCTGCACTTACACTTGCGAATAACTGTGCGTTTCGTCTGAGTTCTTAAAGTTGCCCAATCTGGAGGTACAACCTACCAAGAAGGATTAGCAAGCAGAAAACAGTGATAGTGAACTGTTCTACTAAGTAAGTAACAAGTGAGTGAAAACAATCTGCGGCAAAGTTGATGAAGCTTGTAAGCTATCAAGAGTTGTTGTGCAGACCTGAGCCTGTTATAAGAGCCTATGTTGTGTACTACTACTACTGCTGTACTACTACTACCCTGTGAACTCTTGTTTTGCTATACAAGTCTATAACAATAAGTTTTGTTTGTTAATGGAGAACTTGATGCTCTTGCATTCTGTGGAATTTTCTGATGGTACTAGCCCTACCATTAAGGATTGAGATCCTCTGCAGTCGACATCAGGCCCACGTGTAATTGACAAAGGTACGGTACAGTGACTGCAGAGGATCGTGATCCACCATTAAAGGGCACGCCATTAGTGATGGACAATCCTAACAGGGGAACAGAACACAGGACACATAACAGGGGAGGAAGAAACAATTTTGTTGTGAAATACTAGTAGTATTCAGCTCTATTTAGTTGTATAAAGTTTGTGTTGATCGAAGAATTGCATGCTCTTGCACTATGTGGAAGTCTCTCTTATGGTACATTGGTACTAGGGTATTAGCCCTGCCATTTTGAAATAGTTTTTTCAATGAAAAATAACAGGAACGGCTCCTATTGCTTTCAAGATATGTTAACTTGTGGCCTTGAATTGTTGTATGTAAATCGGCAAGATGCACATTGCAATGGAAGGGCACGCCCTTACTGACGGACACATAAGACCATGTTCGGTTAATCTGTATGAGGAAGAAGTTAAAGATGAAATTTATTCTATATCAATTGTGGTGTATTATTATTCCCTTTTAATTCTTTTTAATCCCTTTCAATACCTTTCAAATTGAAGAAGTCCTAAGAGAGAAAAATAACACATGACAGAGGTACAGGGTAGGAATAAACAATCCATTAGGCAGGCTGTCAATGTTCTTCGGTTTGACACGCCGGAGGAGATGTCGGTGCCATCGACGTTTGATTCTTCCATTTCTGCTTCCCAACTGTCAGGAGGCAGATGACAGAGTGAAAAAGGAATGGTTTTGCTATGTCTATATATGGTGCTGTTTTTTAATTTATATTTTGGTATACTTTTAGTCCATAGGATTAGCACTGATGTGCGATTGATATCAATGGTATTGAATGTTAACGAAGTTATATTGTGTACAAAATATTGAAAAATATTTACTCTCCTCTCGCTTTGAAAGTGTAGTTATTTCTAACTACGAATCTATACAAGCAAAGTGATTAGTTAAAAAATAAGAGATATAAAGTCCAAGTTAATACTCGACCCAACGTTAATGTCCTAACATTTGCTCCTTCACAAAATTTGCCCAGGATATTGTAGTTTTGTGGCATTAACCGCAAGGTGCCATATAATATATGTCCTTGCTATAAGGACATTATGGCCATTATTTAGCATTCACATCTCAATTGGAGATAAAATTTTTAGAAGTAACAGTTTTACCCTTATGACAAGTTGCATGCTCGACCGGACTAAATTTTTTGTCTCACATTTTTAAAATCACAAATATTAAATTTGGGTGACAGATTAAATGAAAATTTATTAAATTTCTAAAGAATTTAATGGAAATTGTGAGTTTGGAAGAAATTTTGTTTAAATTTAAACAAACCTGCAAATTTTAAACTGCTCGTCCCAAATAGTGAAAATAAAAACATTTCCGGAGACCGACAGAACAAAAAATTTCAAATGAAAAATCTAAAAAAGTAAATTTTAAACACATTGAATGAACTTAAAATTTTTAAGATTCTAAATAAGTTCCTTTGTTTGGGTGGGGAAATATATCACACCAGAGACCCAAAAGATCTGAAATTTGGAAAGTTTTAGTCAAATTACTTAACGGTGCCTTGCAATTTGGTATAGGGGGCACTGGGCAGTACTGTCATTTCCAAATTGGTGTCTCATTAAACGAAAAATGTTAAAGTAATGGGCGTACCATGTTTTCGTAAATATTCATAAAATCAAATCAGAATATCCTATGACAAATACACTTTTAAATTTAAAGTGTTGTACGGTTGATGCCACAAAACTACTGTGTCTTATTGGAAAATTTTGCCACTCTCGTAATCTTACATAGTCATCATTATTCACACGATTAATCACATCATCAATTTCCAAACTCATTCTGTCCGTTGGATGGAGATCCAGCGATCCAAAATCGTCCTCACCCTTCCACCTATATAAAGCAAACCCTAACCCCATCACCCAATCTCACCTCCCCCCACAACCCGCCGCCGCCTTCGTCTTCTCCGTCGCCGACTTCTCCTCCTCTCCGATCCACCGCCACCGCCGCCGCCGCCGCCGCCTCGCCCCTCCGATCCGTCGCCGCCTTCATCCCCTCCCACACCTCGATCCGCCCCCGCCTCCCCGAGCCGGAGCCGCCGCTGCCACCTCCTCCTCCTCGATCCGCCGCTGCCTCCCCGAGTTCGTCGTCCACCGCTGATCGGCCAACCCGAGGAACCTTCGACGGTGAGCCTCGTGTACTCTCGTATTACTCACTCTTCCTGTTTTCCATGGCAAATTTTTGTTGCTTTTATTTGGATGCACGCGTGTTACTGAATGATGATGATGAATGCGAGGTTGGTTGTTCAGAAATTAAGCTGCAGTAGCTGTAGTCATCATTAGTTCATTAGACCATTACCCCCCGCATAATTGACTATTTGAATAGAAATCGCCCTGTAAACCTCTGAAAAATGTTGATGGAAAGTTGTTTTTTGCACTTGAAGTTGTACACTTACTGTGTTCGCTGGAGCGTGTTCCCAACCAGAGCAGTTGCGCACGGAAAACGGAACAGTCCATTAGCGCATGATTAATTAAGTATTAGCTTTTTTTTTTCAAAAATAGATCAATATGATTTTTTTAAGCAACTTTCGTATAGAAACTTTTTTTTTTTTTCAAAAAGCGCACTGTTTAGCAGTTTGAAAAGCGTGCGCGTGGAAAACGAGGGAGATGAGTTGGGAAACCTGGGGTAAAAACACAGCCAAAGTTGTTTGTGGAAATCCTGATAAAAAATGTAAAATTAGCATGTCTAACTTATAGGTATCCTGATAATGACACAAACAGCACGGGAGATATCATAAGCTTATCAGGCTCAATTGTCCTACTTCTTTGTTCCTGTTTATTACTACTCCCTGCCAGCTTCCATGATCAAAATATCCTGGCTTAAAACAAACTAGGCTGTATAGCCTCTACACAGGAGTACATTGCTTAATAGTAATGATTGCATGTGCTGCCAAAAGTAATTCAAATTTGGTGTATAGTTTCATGGGTGGAGATAGCATGTTTTCTGTTTACCTGCATTTGGTATTTACACAGTGAACAAGACAGTTGGTGACCTTGCTGTTTAACATTTTTGCAGTTTCAAACATGTCTCGCCGAGGATTGATGGAGCAGGACTTAAGCAAGCTTGACGTGACAAAGCTCCACCCGTTATCGCCTGAAGTTATCTCACGCCAGGCGACGATCAATATAGGTATTGATGCAATCCTTTTAGCGATGTTTTACTGTTCTACGAGTATTGCATAGCTTGTCACTGCAGTTTTTTTTCTGTGTTTCCTGTCTACAAAGTGAATATCATAGTTCTGTAAGATGTTTAGGTTTCCTTCATTAGCATTTAGCTGTGTTATAGTTTGCTCCTTTAGATGCTGGAAACTTGGGAACTATTTCCTTTCTAGGGATGTGCCTGTTTATGACCACTATAATAATACTGAAGTCTGAAGTCTCTCACTTAAGACATGGGTACACTGTTGCTGTTTGTACTTGTTGACTAGTTTGTTATGATTCATTTTTGTCCAGATATTGTGCATGGCAGGAAGTACTCTGTTTTTTTAATTTTTTTTATGACTATGCAATTTATATCTAATGGAGATGCATGTCTCTGGTTTTGTGTTGACTAGGGACATTGCAATGTTATGTTATTTGTCTTCTGATTTTGTGAGCCTCCTGCATGGGCATGATATTCTTTGTTGTTTTGTAACATCAGGTACCATTGGGCATGTGGCCCATGGAAAGTCCACCGTTGTGAAAGCTATATCTGGAGTTCAGGTATAATTCATATATTTCATTATTGCACTTCTTTCCAAGTGATGAATCTAGACTCTGTGTATACCTGAGAATTATATCTCACGTTTATCAGTAACTTTTCCTTATCTTTCTGCCACTTGATTCTTGATGTGCACTATTCTACATTCTTGAGTAAATTACAGTGAACTTTAAAATGTGTGCTGAAAATCACTATAGAGTTTAGATTTCAGAAGAGTTGTATCTGGGAATTCATATAATATAATAGCGCGTAGAAGGATATGTGTTGGCACTCCTTATAAAGGCGGTACAGTTGTAGTTCAAGCTAGACTGGATTTAAATGATGGTTGTTGAACTGCTCAATCGTTTTTAGTATGTATGTACTTCATATGCAATCTGTTTATTTGTTTTATATAGTTCTGATTTCTTCCTTGTGATTTGTACAGACTGTTCGCTTCAAGAATGAGCTGGAGCGTAACATCACTATAAAGCTTGGTTATGCTAATGCGAAAATCTACAAATGTGAAGACGAGAAATGCCCACGACCAATGTGCTACAAGTATGCAATAAACCACTAAATGGCATGATTTGTTCTATGCAATGAACTTCCATTTGTATTACCATGTTAAAAACACTTATCTATATAAAATTAGTTTTCCAGTTAATATCTGGTAGAAGTTATGATTAAAATCTCATGATTGATTCTCCAGAAAAGTAACTTATAATTATCTGCCATTCACCTACTTAGGACTGCTGCTTTGATGTCAAGCTAATGCATGTGAGCTCTGCACTATATGTTGACTTTTTTTCCTGTTATATAAAGGGCTTATGGAAGTGGAAAAGAAGATAGCCCTCACTGTGATGTGCCTGGGTTTGAAAACACTAGGATGAAGCTACTGAGACATGTTTCTTTTGTTGATTGTCCGGTATGATATAAACCTCTTACCCTTTGTTGCATATATGAATGTTCTTTTTCTCAAGACATTTCTCTGAGCATTTATTGTCTTCCTGAATGTTTCATGATATTACTTTATGTGGCTTTTCACTAGCCTGTATATTTGTTTTAAAACATTTTGTTCCGTCAATTATGATCATGGGGTTTCACTTGCATTGGTTTTTATATGCAAATATTTTTTCCACTAGAAGGCACATGGCCATACAGGAGTGAAGGATGTAGATAAGAAGTATAAACTGATGTCATCTCAAATATTTTTATGGGTCACTGCATATTGTTTTTTATTTTTTGATCTCTCGAAGTCAATAATGAGAAAATATTACATATGTAATACATACCTATTTCTTCTTAACAGGGGCATGACATTCTCATGGCTACAATGCTTAATGGAGCTGCTATCATGGATGGAGCATTGCTTTTGATAGCAGCCAATGAAAGCTGCCCACAACCCCAAACATCTGAGCATCTTGCTGCGGTTGAAATCATGCGTCTCCAACATATCATTATTCTTCAGAACAAGATTGATCTTATCCAGGAAAGTGCAGCAATGAATCAACATGAAGCGATCCAGAAATTCATCCAGGTTGCTACTGTCCATTATTATCTTGTAGATGGGTACATCTGTCTGTCTATTTGTTTATGGGTTATTTTATTTCTCTATAGGGTACCATAGCTGAAGGTGCTCCGGTGGTGCCAATATCTGCTCAGCTTAAGTATAACATTGATGTGATATGTGAATACATTGTGAAGAAAATCCCCATTCCTGAAAGGAACTTCACTTCCCCTCCAAACATGATTGTCATTCGCTCCTTTGATGTCAACAAGCCTGGTTCAGAGGTTGATGAAATTAGGGGTGGTGTAGCTGGTGGCAGCATCCTCAGAGTATGTATTCCCTCGTGTGTCATGTAATTAGATTTTTTATCACTACTTTTGGGTTATTAGGTATGACTTAAATTGTGATGCTTCTTTTATAGGGAGTTTTGAGGGTGAACCAGAACATTGAAGTCCGCCCTGGCATTGTAATGAAGGATGAAAGCGGCAACATCAAATGCACCCCAATCTATTCAAGGATTGTTTCGCTCTATGCTGAGCAGAATGAGCTCCAATTTGCTGTGCCTGGAGGTCTTATTGGTGTGGGAACAACCATGGATCCAACCTTGACACGTGCTGATAGACTGGTTGGTCAGGTTCTAGGTGAAGTTGGATCACTTCCTGATGTCTATGTGGAGCTTGAGGTTTGTCAACTCTTCGTTGCATCAAGATTTAGTGAGAATAAAACATTCATTGCTTAAATCTGGACTTTCATGCATGCAGATCAACTTCTTCCTTCTTCGGAGGCTGTTGGGTGTGAGGACAAAAGGTACTGAGAAGGCTGGGAAGGTCTCCAAGCTCACCAAGGGTGAAATCCTCATGCTTAACATCGGATCCATGTCGACTGGTGCTCGTGTGGTTGCTGTCAAGAACGATCTTGCCAAACTTCAGCTCACTGCCCCTGTCTGCACAAGCAAAGGTGAGAAGGTTGCCCTTAGCCGTCGTGTTGAGAAGCATTGGCGACTCATCGGATGGGGCCAGATCCAGGCTGGCACGACGCTCGAAGTTCCACCGTGTCCGCTCTGAAGTGCAGTTGTTTAGGCAGAAGTCTACCAACAGTTTGAGGTAAGAGAGAAGGAAATGTGGAAGGGCAGAGAGCTCCTAGGCACTATTTTCGTGAGATGGAGGAGAAAACAAATGAGTTTGGAAGAGATGTCATTGCGTGAATTCACCTACGGTCGATACTGAAGTTTGCCTACATTACTAAGTTTGTTTACATTCTGAATGCTGGGAAAATCGTTTTCCTTGCCATGTTGAAGTAGGCGAGAAACCTACTACCCTTTGGATCAGGATCATCTTTACACATCTCAGCGAGAATCAGTTATGCATGGCTGAGAATCAGTTGTGCATGGCATTCACGTGTTGCAACCGAAAGTAACAAACATGACCAACACACTTAGTAATAATATGGATATCTTGAAAATATTGCAATACAGATATTTGCTAAAGGCAGAGTATACCTCATTTCTTCATAACTTGAGCTTCAATCCACGTCTCATCCCAGTAATACTAGTCCATGTTGTTAAGGGCATGTTTTGTGGACGGCCTGAGCAGTGCCTGAGACCTCCCTGAGGTTTTGATGGAATAGGAATGCCTGGTCAGGCAAGCCTTTGGTTGGTGTTGTGCCTGAGAACAGATGAAAAAAAAAGGTTATGACTTATACCAGGGGCAAAAAAAAAAAAAGATGAGAAGCCAGGGGCAAAAATAGTTTAATCATCTAGTCATATCATCAGTATCACAACCACTCAACCAGCACCTGCTGACCTGCATGGCTGCATGCTGCACTAATCAATCCACTTGATTATGCGGTGGCGCTTGGGCTAATGATGCACGGAAGTAACTCAGGCCAGGCGTCACTGGAAATATTCAGGGCACCAACCAAACACCACTCAGCCCATCATCAGGGAGGGCCTCCGGTCAGGCACGTTCTCTCAAGTATTGTTTAAACTTGTAAATATTTTTATTCATTGTACTAAATTTTATGGAATACGTTGTAACATTAATTAGACATTTATACATGTATTTATGCTAGTAATGTTATACATGTCAAACGTAATGGACATTGTTTAGGCCGTGTTCTTCTCCCAATTTTCCCAACCTCTCCTCTCTTGCTTTCCACGCGCACGTTTTCCAAACTATTAAACGGTGCGTTTTTTTCAAAAATTTTCTATAGAGAAGTTACTTTTAAAAAATATATATCAATTCATTTTGAAAGGTTTTTTAGCTAATACTCCTACATAATTAATTATGTGTTAATCCGTTACTTGGCTTTCCGTGTTCGGAGACAAGGTTGGGAACTCGGCCTTAGTACATATAAAACATTTTTTTATATATAAAATGTGCTAATCATGTGTGGTGATATTTGTTTCTATTAAAATTTGGGCAATTGTTGAGTTTTGACAAATATTTATTTTCATATTCGTGTCAATAGTATTCGAGGCAATTCATATTTGATTTTGTATTTGATTTATTCACATCCGTTTTCATATCTAGATAAAAATGAAAACAAATATGATAAGAGCATATTTGTTTGTATCCACTCCGTTTTCATTCCTATAACAGATATAACCACTTGATTTATTCATGATGAGCCTCACTTCTATATGCCGGAAATATATAGTGGAAACCACATCTTAGGTGAAAACTTGGAAACTTTTTTTATAGAAGTTCTAAAAAAGTCTTAAAAAATTACATATGTAGAATTGTAGATATTTTATAAATAAACAACCGTACCAAGTTACATGAACAAACTCAACTTCGTTAATAAGAAATAAAATTAACAAATAACACTATTCTTGTTTTTGTATTTTTCTTCTATATTTCTTAATTTTATATCTCATAAGATTATCCTTGAACTATGCATAGATGTCTGATATTACCTTATCTATTTGTGAGTTTCCTTTTCAAATTATTTGAAAACTTTTATATTGTTGTTTCTTCTATGTTTCTCAATTTTATATCTCAAACAACGGTGTAAAAGTTTTGAAGCATGTTGTACTGCAACTGAGATTAATTTTATATATCTTGCGACATATTTTCAACTTGAAAGCATTCAGATTTCTCTAACTATAACATTTAGCAATAATACACCTCAAACTAGCGATATTTCTTTAGAAACTTTATGGGACTTCATATGAACATGTTTTAAATAAGTTTCGAATATTTCTAGTCATCATTTATAAAAATTACACCATCGAAGTTACGGAGAAAAAATAGCCGACACTAATAAAATAAAAAAGGGCGCGGAAGGACAAAAAAATGGCGCGGGCAGAGAAAATGTTGCACGATTAGTGGGATTGGGAGCGCGTCCACGCTCCCAAGTCTTGGCTCAGATTGGCCATGATTTTGGTCGGAGGTAAATTTTGGGACCATGGTTGGGAATCTGTTGGAGGCCTGTTTTTCATCAAAATTGTAAAATTTATCTTTTAGGAACCTGTTTAGCCCTCTCTTGGAGATGCCCTTTTACATGTTAAGTTTTAGGTGTTAGTGGACATTAGCTTTATAGAAAGAAGAGATTTGTCTGCTTATCCTTTAAGGCAAAAAATGATTTTCTTATTCGTGCTGTACTAATGGAGTCATTAATTCTTAATACGAGTCAATTCCCTAAAGTATCTGTCATTTTACAAAAAATATTTACCAAATATTTTGGTTGACTGAAAACGCGTGTATTTCCTCTTAATTAATTGTATCATGGACTTCGAACGGTAGATTTTTATTACTCGATAGGAACATTCCAATAGGTACTTCAATAATAAACAATTGACTGTGTCCAAACTGCATCAATCTGCACAAAGTATACAAAATCTAAGTAGAAAATAAATAAAAATATAACCTAAGCATTAAACAAATACCCTGTCTAGTTCACAAAATAAAATCTTTTCACCCATCACATCGAATGTTTAGACATGTGTATGAACTATCAAGGCTGTGTTTAGATCCAAAATTTGGATCCAAACTTCAGTCCTTTTCCATCACATCAACCTGTCATACACACACAACTTTTCAGTCACATCATCTTCAATTTCAACCAAAATCCAAACTTTTCCCTCAACTAAACACAACCTAAATGTGGATAAAAAATAAAACAAATTACACAGTTTGCGTGTAAATTACGAGACAAATCTTTTAAGGCTAATTGCGTCATGATTTGATAATGTGGTGCTACATTAAATATTTGCTAATGACAGATTAATTAGGTTTAATAAATTTGTCTCGTAGTTTTCTGGCGAAATCTATAATTTGTTTTGTTATTAGACTATGTTTAATAGTTCAAATATGTGTCCATATATCTGATGTGTCAACCTATAAAAAAATTTGGGAACTAAACCGGGCCAAAGATGACGTTGTTCTCTATCCAGAATGCTGACTTTTGACGCCAACATAGAGAGGACCCGTGTTCCGTCCTTATCACACACCTCAGCGAAAGCCAAAACGTGGAAAAAAAAGACCCTCTGACACAATAATTCTCACACAAATTGCAGTATGCTGACTCTAGTTTCTGAATTGTACATATGGTAGTGAGAATTATGTGAATTTTCATCTCTTAAGGAGACATCCCCTCGTTGTTTGTATGTTATCTAAATAGTTATCAAATTTTTTTAAAAAAATAACAACATAGATTAATATGAAATATATTATTCCACAAACATGCAAAATTAAATTTAACTTCTATAAGTTGCAACAAAAATAATAAATTAAACTAAAAATAGTTATCGTGCATTCACAACTATATTTGTTATTTTTGTTACAACTTATAGAAGTTAAATTTAAACTTGCATGTTTGTGGAGTGATATACTCCCTCCGTTTCACAATGTAAGTCATTCTAGCATTTCTCACATACATGTTGACGTTAATGAATCTAGATAGATATATATGTCTAGATTCATTAACATCAATATTAATGTGGAAAATGCTAGAATGACTTACATTGTGAAACAGAAAAAGTATTTCATATTAATTTATCTTGCCAATTTTTTTTCATATTTTTTTATGACTATTTATGTGATATGCATGAAACGAGGGAGGAATTCACTTTCCCTCCATATTTTAAATAGAGAGAATCCACTCAGTACCACTGAGTTTATCGCACTAGCTTCTACAATCTACCACTCACTTTATCAAGTTCAATAATATACTATCGTGTTTTCTTTAACCTCTACTAGAATATATATTCTAGTGCTAAAATATTTATCAGCAAGTACTAGTAGCAAGGAACCGTAGCAACTTGGTAGCAACGGGAGAACCGAGCGTGCTCGGTTGGCTAGCATCGCTGGTGAGCGAGCAGCCCGCGCGGGTTCGATCCCTGGGATCGTCACCCGCGCGTCTCACCGGGATTTATTCCCAAATAAATTTCCAGCTCTCCCGTGCCAGCGCCACAATAGTAGAGTGACGTCCTCGTCACGCACAAGGTCCTTAGGTGGCTTTGTGTATCTCATTAGCACGTGTGTGTATAGTTGATAGGTGGAGTGTGTGTGCGTGGTGGAGTGCGTTTGCACGTATGTTCAGATACTACAGCTTGTACTCAAAGTGGAGAGCTCTCAAAAAAAAAAAAACTTGGTAGCAACGGGTGTCGCCGGCTGGCCAGACTCTCTTGCCATGGCTTCCCAACATCTCATCCTCCTCCTCGCGATCTTCGTCTCGCTCTGCGTAGCGGCGATCGGTCAGGGCAACAAAATCGTTCCGTTTAACCCATCCTGCTCAACCACCGGAAACTACTCCGGCGACAGCCAGTACAAGAAGAACCTCGACCAGCTCCTCTCCACACTTGCCACGGCCGCCACCGACGATGGCTGGTTCAACACCAGCTCGGTCGGAACGGGTGGCGACGACCAGGTGTTCGGCCTCATCATGTGCTACGCCGACCGCAATCCGACGCAATGCAAGGAATGCCTCGCCGGCGCACCCGCGGGGATCACGCAGGTGTGCCCGGGAAGTCGGACGGTGAACGCCAACTACGACGCCTGCCTCCTCCGCTACTCCGACGTCTCCTTCTTCTCCGTCGCCGACAAGACCGTTGCCTTCAACGTGTACGCCAAATCCTACGTCGAGAACATGGCCGCCATGAACGAGACGCGGTGGCAGCTGATGAGCCAGCTCGCGGAGACGGCCGGCCAAACCAAGCTCAGGCTGGACACCGGAAGTACGCGGCTCGGATCAACATCGATGATGTACGGTCTGGCTCAGTGCACGAGGGACCTGGCGGTGAGCGAGTGCAGCACCTGTCTGTCTGACTACATTGTGCAACTCAGCAAAATCTTCCCCAACAACAGCTGGGCCGCCATTAAGGGGTACAGCTGCTACCTCAGGTACGACCTCTCGCCGTTTGGCATCACTCTTCCGCCATCGTCTCCGGTGCCTCCTCCGTCGT